CCTCTTTGTGGCGGCCATATTTACAGAAACATAATTAAACTTCATGTTTAGGCTGATGGCTTTGCCAAAGCCTTAATAAATTAAAAAAAAAAATTAAAAAAAATCACATTGACATGACAATTGACAACGCGAGCATTGGTGTTTTTCTATCTGAATTTTCTGCACAATTTTTCTGTTTTTCATAAACTAGCACGTCCATATGCATTTAATCAGCACTTAATGTAATTCCCAGGAAGTGTGCAATACATGTCTTGATTATAGCCGCCGTAGTTTGCGTAATATTTGCTTGATAAGCTTATCAATCTTCAGTAGCGGGCGTTCGTCAAAAGCTAATTTCTTGGTAATAATTTGCGTAAAAGTAAAAGTTGCGTAAAAGTTCTAAAATGTCCGGCGAACCGTCCACGGCTAACGGAAACCGAAAAGTTGCATTAATTACAGGCATAACAGGACAGGTAAGTGCACTGTATTTTTTGTTAATACAATGTTTTTTTTCAAAGACAATCTACACAGGGACACGTCAGTAGCTATTAGCCGGTATGCCGATTCACTATTTATGGTGTATTTTGATGCCAATAAGCAATAACAATCGATCCCAATTAGATAACCATATAGTTGCATTGTAAAAAAATCTGCACTGTGGTCTACAATTATTTTATTAAGACATGAAATCAATAAATAAAATAAAAAGACATTATTTATCCACAAAACACATAAACCATAATGTAACCTAACTGGTAAAAAATAAAATAGTAATGTGAACAAAAAGGATGAAGATTTAGCATTGCTGATTTTCACCTACAACTATTCACTTGCTGTGCCAGACCTGCAAATGGAATGGTGTACTATACACTAAGGCATTTTTATGATTGATTTAAATATGTGCATTTATATATTTGGGTTAATTTCGTAATATAAAAAAAATATTTGAAACAGTATTTCCTCACCTTGAAACTTTAAAATCTTACATTCCTATCTATTATAACATTAATCAGTTTGCTACCTGTTGTTACATACTTTAAAGCAGACTCAATATCTTTGATTTTGTCTCTTTTGCACCAGATAGTCTTAAATAATAACATTTCATACCTATTATCCCTCTCAACTGTGACATTAATCATTTTTATCATAAGTGATATAATACTGCCTAAGTCTGCTTCGTGGCAGAATCTACACTCTCTGTTTCCTCTCGGCCCAATACTTGACATGCACTTAGGTACATGTAATACCACTTTGGATTCAATATACACACATGCTAAGAGGCTTATAAGTGACTCGGTATTAGTAGACGCGAAGCTGCAGAGCCTTGAACACCGCAGTAGAGTTGCCAGCTTATCGGTATTCTACAGGATATGTCACAGAGAGTGTGCAATGGAATTGCATAATTTGATTCCGCCTTCCCCTTTCCATCATCGGGACACGGGACGAGGGCAGGGGTTCCACCCCTATGTTGTGGATATTCCTCAGATTCGCACGAAGCGTTTCGCTTCCACATTTGTATGGCGAGCGGCTAGGGAGAGGAATTCCCTGCCTGTGCATGTATAAAATAAGCATAGATAATTTTATAAGACTAAGGGTCGTATTCCAGAACTCTACTTAATGCTCAAGTCAGGATTTGAGCAGACTTGAGTATGATTTCAAGCACTGGAAATACGACCCTAATGGCAAGGACTTGAGTATGATTTTCAGTGCTTACTGCAATACTCAAGTCCTGACTTGAGTATTGAGCAGAGTTCTGGAATACAACCCTTAGTGTAAGAAATAGGTTGACTGACGTAATTTAACATACTACCAATGTGGACCTTGAATCCATTCGTCAATGGAGTCAGGCCTTTGGCCTTAAAGTTAACCCATCCAAAACGCAATCGATTATTATAGGTAGCATTTGGTTCAATTCTCGTTTAAATCTAGACTCCCTACCCCCTATGGTTTTCGATGGTGTCTGTATTCCTAATTTGGATACTGTCAGGAATTTGGGGGTAATTTTTGATAAACGTCTGACTTGGAAGCCGCACGTTGCTGAGGTTAGCAGGAAGGTGTTTGGTGCGCTATTCTCTCTGAGCAGGCTTAAAAACTTTTTACCGGCTAAAACTAAAATTACTCTGGCCCAGAGCATTCTCCACCCAATACTGGACTATGCAGATGTTTGCTACCCGGATTTGTCAGTCACTATGCTCAATAAATTGGAATGGCTCCAAAATATATGTGTTAGGTTCATCTTCGGACTTCGTAAATTTGACCATGTCATCAATTTCGCGCACAACTTAAATGGCTGCCCATCCATCGGCGTAGAGATCTTCATATCCTTTCACTTCTCTACTCAATTCTATTCTATCCCTTTACGCCTTCTTATCTTAAAGATCTCTTTACTTTCCACTCTTCTACACTCTGCCGTCCCCTTCGCTCTTCTGATACTCTCATACTAAACTTGCCCTCATACCTCTAACTTTTATTCCAACTCTTTTACCATTTCTGCCATCAGATTGTGGAATTCTCTCCCTGAATCGATTCGACGATCCTCTTCTCTTGATTCCTTCAAACAACGTGTCAAGGATCACTTCCTCAACTCCTAAATTTCGTCTGTCCTCTACTGTCCTTTCATTTATTTCGTACATTTATACATCATTTTTCTTTTTCATTTAAAAGTATATAAGCATTTAATATTATTAGTATGTATATGTATATCTATCTACGGATATGTATATATTTTTATTATTACTTATTATGTAGTGTACTTATGATGATATTCTTTGGTTGCCCTTTTTGCCTAAATTGCTGTTGCACATTAACTTATTACTACTATTATACTTAAGCTATTGTATTGTATTTTAATTGTAATTTTATGCGCAATAAAGAATATTTAATTCATTTATTCATTCATACTACGACCTTCTTCTTTCTTTTTTCTTGAAATTTTTAATTTGAAATTATCTCGTAGTTATCATTTTTTACTTCAATAATACCTGCTATTGTCTTCAGGATGGATCTTACCTTGCCGAATTCCTCATAGAAAAAGGTTACGAAGTTCATGGTATCTTACGACGCTCATCGTCCTTCAACACAGGGCGCATTCAACATTTGTATGGACAACCTACGTGCCACACAGGAGGACGTATGCATCTGCATTATGGAGACTTGACAGACACTACGTGCCTTATTAGCATAATTACAAAGGTAATTGATAGATTCTAAAGAGTATAAATTTGTTAACAAAACATTTGTAAATCTAAACAATACTGGCCACTCAAATTGTTATTAAAATTATAATCTCAGTGCAGAGTACTGAAAAAACTGACCGCAAAAGGCATTCATCCCCTAGTTTACCACCTTTAGAGATGGAATGTTTTCTTTAAATCACTACTGAGGTTCCCTCTTTCCAACAAAAAAGAATCATCAAAATCGGTTCAAAAATGCCGCCGGAGTTGTCGCGTAACATACATACAAAAAAAATAACGTACAGTCGAATTGAGAACCTCCTCCTTTTTTTGAAGTCGGTTAAATAGTGAACTCCAAGAAAAAAGTATTTACTTACAAACACAAAGAAAACATTCTGGTCCGCTGGACTCGAACCGAACCAGGAGATCTTACGAATTTCTCTATGTACCTGTTGCGGATCTTAGTATTGGGTTTATACTACTTTTTTACCAGTAGTAATAACAAACCAGTGGAGTATCTTCACAATAAAAATAGATGAATATCATAATAGTAAAAACATCATCACTTCGGACTGGACGTTGCTAATAACTTCCGGTTCGAAGACCTCAAGAACATCATCGTTTTTTTCATTGTCATAAACAAAATAGGTAAATTTAAATTTATGTGTGTGCCTTCATTTACGATGCTTTTTTAATTTCCCTACATGTTCTTACTACAGAAGTGACCTCATTGCCGTCTCTGACAACATTCTGTGCAGTAACACACTTATTGTACATAGGAGAAATACATTATAAACACACCCACCAAACTCGCCACGCATTGTAAGACTTTAATATCAATTGCTCATAAATAATAAACCAAGCCACTTCAACGAGAAGTGTTTTCATAATACACAGTGGAGTATAATGTGAATATTATTCTTTTATAATTTTATAATATTTATAGTGTTGGCAGTCCAGTGGGAGAATTACTTTTTAATTGAGACATTATTATTATTATAATCCTTCTTAGAGAAAACTCATGCCCAAAAGTGGAACATGCAATGGTTGATGATGATGATAAAATCTTGTCATCAAACCCTCACATATACATAGGTATATTTAATATTGCAACGTGCTATTTTTGTTACATAAACAAAATGTACCTACCTTTGTTTACATTTTTAATCTCGAATAGGTGGTAACAGTACTTATGATACGCTTAACAAAAAATTAACTTCTAGGGGCATATTTTCTCGTATTTTTAAATCATTTTGTTCATCAAAGTGTAACATCCGCAATTTGTCATTATAATCCGGAACGTTGTGTTCTAATCTTGAGCTTTGAGTCTTACTACAACATAGAGGTGGAACCCAAGTCTACTCCTGTCCCCCGGTGATGGAAAGGGGAAAGCGGAATTAAATAGTGTAATTTCATCGCACACTCTGCGTGATATATCCTCTAAAATTTCGGATAAGCTGGCAACTTTACGGCGTTGTTCAAAGCTCTGCAGCTTCGCCTCCACTAATTCCGAGTCAACTATAAGCTTCTTAGCACGGTTGTCAATTGAATCCAAGGTGGCCAGTTGGTATGTAGCAGAACCATCCTAAAGGTGGCAGCAGTACTCCATGCATGACCGGATTTGTGCTTGGTACAGCTGAAGCAACTGTCCCGGTGTGTGTGTGTCCCTATCTACTGACCCGAGAGATAGGGTTTTCCGGAGAGACTAAGGGCTCGACGGCTATACCGGGGTACAGCGGGCGTCCGGGCCAAGCCCTCTGCCAGTGATACGTCTCTGGCGGACCCGGACTTGGGTATGGACTTGCAGGACACTGCGACTGGCATGTCCGGCACTAGCCCGGAAAGCTAGTAGAGGATATAGATATCCTCCGGTCCCTCCAGCCGCTTAGGTTATTGGGAACTGGAGAGGCGTCGTTTTTCGGCGTCGGGAAGTGAGCGTACCTTACAGCTCCGCCACCAATGAGGAGATTTGGTAGTGGACTCAGAGGCGACGGCTTAGCGGTGGCAACCTTAGTGGGTGCAATGCACAACGGGAAGTGGGCGTGCCTTCAGTCCTTCTCGTATGCCCTAAGGGTAGGTAGAATCAAAACTAACGTAGAAAGATGTGGTGCTTGTCCCGGTGTGAAGTAAAGCCTCACCCTGGAAAGGGTCCCAAGCTTCCTTGCTGCATGATTGGTCATGGATTCAACGTATCTGCCGAAATACAAATTGGACGACAGGTCCATTCCAAGTAGCTGGAGACGGTCGGCTATCGGTATGGATACATCACGAAAAGTCTGAGTCAGCTCAAAGGAACTCCGTTTTGTGGAGAATAGACACGCCTGCGTTTAGTAGCGTTAAATTTGACAAGATTGGCATAACCTCAGTCGGAGACTGCCTTGAGTGTCAAATCGAAACGGCTAACCATAGACTCTCGACAAGACTGGATTTGCAGACAGTACGGAACCCTGAGGAATCTATCTCCATATGTTCGGAAGAGTAGCTCTAAGACCACTCGAATCGAACGTTCGCTCAAGAAATCCGAGATCCAATTGCAACGGCCAGTTGATTTCCTCTCCACTGACCCTTGCATTGGTCAAGTACCTATCTACATACAACTGTGTTGTCATCAGCATACGCAAAAGTACCTGAAATTAACATGTCATTGATATGCAGTAGAAAGAGAGTTGCGGACAGTACGGAACCCTGAGAAATCTATCGCCATATGTTCGGAAGAGTAGCCTTCTGAAATCTCTCGAATCGAACGTTCGCTCGAGAAATCCGAGATCCAATTGCAAAGTGGGAAGTCCATAAAAGGGAAGCGTACTTAAAAGGTTTGCTTGCCAGACCCTGTCAAAGGCTTTAGAAATATCCAAAGACAATGCAAGTGCTTCACCTTGCTTTTCTATAGCCTCGCTCCACATGTGACAGGCATACACAAGAAGATCCCCAGTTGATCGCCCTCTTCGGAATCCGTACTGGCGATCACTGAGGAGGTCGTTGTCTTTAAGGTACGACAAGAGACGGTTGTTGAGCACACGTTCCATAGTCTTGCAGAGTATGAAAGTGACTGAGATAGGTCTATAGTTGTCAGCTCTGCTTCCCTTTTCGGCACAGGTTGCTCGTTTGCAAACTTTCACGACCTGGGAACTACACCAGTCTTAAGTGAGAGGTGGTACAGACGTAGGCGTGTGAGAACAGGAGACAACTCAGGCGCACAGTTACGTAGGCCAAGTGCGGGAATTCCATCTGGCCCGCTAGCTTTATTCGCGTCCAGATCCCGCAGAGTTCTAAGTACCTCTTTTTAGCGTATGCGAATTGGCGCCATAGTGCAGCCAACCTGAGGTAAGATTAGATCCAGACGCGAACCCTTTGCAAAGAGTGAGGCAAAAAGATTTGCTTTGTCTTCTACAATGTAGTCCAGCATGCCGTCCGGCCTCAGCAGAGGTGACATAGATAGGCGACAAAAGTTATTAGTGACTTTATATTTAAAGATGTTTTGTTTAAAAAATTTATTTGTCAATTTCTGGCGTTGCCATTTTCATTACGCATACACAATATCGAAGCGTGCGTGTGCGTACGATCGGAGCGCCTTATCGAACTGATAAAAATTTGATTACTATAGAAAATACGTTATTTTGTTTTTTCCTTTGAAAAAGTGTTTGTATAACGGTTTTTGTAAAAACAAACACCGATATACAAATTCGTTTTAGGGTCGCACTCACGCCGCCGAAACGCCACCGCCGCCGACACTTTTTTGTCGGCGCGCCGCCGCCGGTTGGTCTATTATCGGCGCTCATGTCTGTTCTAACTAAATATCCTTTTTTTTATACAAAATAAGAATTTTAGATACAACGGTGTGCTTAAAATATTATATTACAATATTTAGGTACATACATACAACTATTTCATATACTCGTACACGTATGTTGATATTACACATACAGATACCTACCACACTTACCAAAACATATGAGCACTTACTTTTTTGCAAGCACATATTATGTACATAATACATAATGTAGATGCGTATTAGAGAAGACTTAGTACGAGCTGGCAACGTTCAATCGTGCATCCCACTCGAACAGTGAAAGATCGCTATTTCTCCCGCTCGCACCGTTCCTACTGAATAAAAGACAGGTGAACTATCAACGCAGGCAGTTCCTGGTTCGTACTGAACTAAAAAGAACGATGAACTTTAAAACCGTACAAGACGAACTAGTTCATGTCGGTCAGTGTCGGGAATACATTCCTAATAGTTCGTAGTTCATGAACTATACAAACCAATAGGTTTAAGAAGTTATTATTTCATCCAATCGAGATAGGTAATAACTTATCTCGATTGGGTGAAATAATAACTTTTTTATAAAAAAGAGCCGACACAAAAGTTAGTGGAATCACATCTGTTTGCTAAGTTTTATTGAAATCTATCCTTAGGGACACCATCCTTAGAGGTGGAATATTTTCCTCTTTGAATGGGACCAATAGTGAGGTACCCTGTTTCCAACAAAAAAATCATTAAAATCGGTTCGCAAATGCCGGAATAATCGCGTAACATACATACAAAAAAAATACAATCGAATTGAGAACCTCCTCCTTTTTTAAAGTCGGTTAAAAGTCTTTTTGTCGAAGGCTCAATTTACATTGCTGCGGAATGGAATGGAAGCCAATTTTTTAATACATAGTAAATGAACTTTTTGTCAATTGTGTAACGTACAAGCTAAATACGATGCGGTAACTGCGAGAATTTCCAAGAATTCTCCGGAAGACTCGCTACCTGTTTTTTGGTTCGTGTCTAGTTTACACTATATCTACTGTTCGTTACATAATTGAAATATAGTTTATTACGGTTTGTACAATTGACAGCACACCAAGCTATACACTTTTGTTCGAATATCGCCTCCAGTGCAACGGCAGCACAAATCCATCAATGTACATCTTTGTGCTATTTTAAAACAAGAATTCGCTTTCCATTCCTTTCCGCGGCTATGTAAATTGAGCTTAACATGTTGCTATGAATTACTGTTTTGTTTAATCGCTTATTCCCAGACACGGCCCAAAGAAATCTACAATCTCGGAGCCCAGTCTCACGTCAAGGTATCATTTGAGCTAAGCGAGTACACAGCTCAAGTGGACGCCCTAGGCACTTTACGATTACTGGAAGCTATTAGAGCTGCCGGACTAGAGAAAGAAAGCAAGCTATACCAGGCTTCTACGTCAGAACTTTATGGGAAAGTCGTGGAAGTTCCACAGAATGAAAAGACTCCTTTTTATCCCAGATCACCGTATGGTAAGTTTACGATTTTCTAATGTGAATAGTTTTCTCTTTTACACATGTTCATACACTCTGATGTGGAAACACCTTAATGTCGTACAAGAGTATATCAATCTTACCAATTACTGCTTTAGATTATTCTTATTGTATGCGTCACAGAGTTGAATTTAAATCTTAGGGGAGAGTGGGGTGAATAAGGACGCGGGGTAATTTCAGACGCAATCGTTTCTAGAAGTCTAGTTCCCCCCGTGCCCCGCTATCGCGATCTTTCGACTACATCCACCATCGTTAGTGTATAGAAAGTTGTCAAGGAGAGAGGCCTCACACGTGTTTCAAACAAGTACCAAAGACTTTTCATGTGTTTTGTTGTAATTTTACTTTATTTTTAATGCCATGTATACACTGTTATGTGAGAATTAATGAAATTTTACGTTTGTCATAAATATTGTAAGAATATGAAAATCCTACGTGCTAGCATCAGAAATATTAAGTAATTAAATAAATTACGATTGGGGCAATTACAGACTTGGGACTTGGGGCAAATCCAGATGTCTGTAATAACCCCAATTAAGGTTTTAATTAGATTAATGTAAAGGAGACCGATACGCTTTCATACAATCTTGGGCCAAGATGTAGGAAGATGAAAGTGGTATCAATTAATAGCTTATATATTGTCATACGATCACTGTCCGCATTTACCCGATATGCACCAGGTGATTACGGACAGAAAATATTCGTTTTTCTTTAAAATTTTATATTTGTTGATCGTTTAAAAGAAAGATAAAAGTTAAAAGATTATATTGTAATTTTGTAAAGTTATAACCAAAGTTTAATTATAATATAGAAAATACTGATTAATGCTAATAATATGATGTCTTGATGTGCAATACTGATTAATGCTAATAACATGATTTTTATTTCGATATTCGCTTAAGTGTCCACGATTCCCCCTCTCTCCCCTAAGTGTCAAGCATGACGTTATCCTAACCTTGTACTTACCTGCCTAAGTTTCAGAATGCATTAATTTCCTGTTTAAATTATATAACGGATAATGTATGTGTTTTGGAAATAATTGGGAGCGCTTACTTTATCGTTGTAAGCAAATGCTTTAAGACACTTTATGCGCTGATGAAGTTTAAAAATGTGACGTTTCATGTAAAATGCACCTTTATACAAAAGAAGACCTTTATATTGAAGAGTACCTATGTGCAGGAAACAATTAGGTCCGATCAACAACTTTCCTTTCCACTGAAATAGGCCACGCCGAAAGGAAAAGCCCGTGAAATTCGGCCTCGAACTTAAAAAAGCGCCTGGGTTCGACCTAATAACCAATGAAATATTAAAACAACTTCCCAAAAAACCGTTGGTTCTACTGACCATGCTCTTTTATGCAATCTTCAAGATAGTATACTTTCCTAAGTTATGGAAAAGCTCCCATATTTGTATGATAGCCACGAGGAAAGCCAGTCACAGAACCAAGTTCCTACATACCTATAAGCCTCTTGCCGATACTCTCAAAGCTATTGGAGATTTTTTTTTCTAAATCGACTTAAACCAATATTGGAAGAGAACAACATAATTCCATATCACCAGTTTGGGTTCAGGGAACAGCACGGCACTGTAGAGCAGGTTCATAGAGTCGTACACAAAATTAGACAGACTCTTTCGGCTGTGTTTCTAGATATACAGCAGGCCTTTGATCGGGTATGGCATTATGGTCTTCTATACAAACTACAAGTTGGTCTTCCGAACTCATTTTATATGATTTTAAAATCGTATCCTCTAGAACGCAAATTTCAAGTAAAGTATGAGGAAGAACTTTTCCAGTTACATGAGATGCTGGCATCTGTTCCTCAAGGTTCGGTACTAGGGCCAGTGCTGTACGCTATATTCACAGCAGACTTACCTCAGAGTGAGAGCGTGGAAACGGCAACATACGCTGATGACACTGCTTGTCTGGCATATGTCCCTTTGCAGCATTACAGACGCTTCAAGTGCAAATGAATAAAATAAATCAGTGGTTACAGAAATGGCGCATAAAATCCAGCACCTCCAAATCTGTACACAACTTTCACATTCCGCAAAGAAGAATGCACATCCGTGACCATGGGCGGTGAACCTCTTCCAAGTAAAGACTGTGTCAAATATCTGGGTATGCATCTTGATAAGCGGTTAAACTGAGCACACCATATAAAAACTAAAAGAAATGTTGCTCACATTCAATACAAAAACGTGTACTGGCTGATAGGTCGACAAACTCCACTTTCACTACACAATAAGTTGATGGTGTACAAGTGCATCATCAAACCCATCTGGACTTATGGAATAGAGCTCTGGGGCTCAGCTAGCAACTCAAATCTCGAGATATTACTTACCTATTGCGACACTCGGAGCGTATGGACGTATTTACAGATCATCTTAAGTTTTTAATATTTATTGTTAAATAAGTGTTACTAGTATATTAATTAAATGGGGCCAAAATGCCCCGGATGTGGTGCAGTGAACGAGGATATTTCAGTGTTGGAGTGTTGTCAACAAACATGTCGAAAGTCTTACCATTTGAATTGTCTTGGTATGACACAAGAAGTTTTTGAGAATCTTACACACGAATTTAAATATAATTGGGTATGTCCAGAGTGCAAACGTAACATTCCAAAGGGAGATAACTCCAATACACCGGTGAGAGGCAGCGGAGTGAGCGTAGTAATGGAAAAAACGTTCACATCAGACACTAACGTAAACAAGGAGCGCGGTACACGTTACAACTTAAACGACTCATCTATGGTTGATAATGACAGTAAAGTACTAGAGGAATTGCGGGAGTTTCGATCAGAAATGCAGAATCGGTTGAGTGAACAAATGAAAGAATATGCACTGCTTCAAAACAGATTCCATCGGTCAGAAACTGAGTTACAAGAACTACGTAAAATAATGGAGGTAGTTCAAGAAAAAGCAAATAAAGTGGATGGGTTGGAAACAAAGATTATGTCTCTGATAGAAAAGAATGAACACTTGGAAACTTGCCTGAAAATGGGAAATAACTCTATGGAGAGTAAGGAAACAAAGCGCACACCTACGGTGCCAATATTATCATTTGCGAAGGCAGTTGCAAAAAATGCTGCACCAAAAGATAATACTCAAGGTGGGGCCACGAAACCAGCGACTATGCCTAGGACTAATGATAGTAGTAGATTACAAACCATGGTTGGTGCGAATGCTTTGAGTTTTTTTGATAAGACTGGTAAAGAGCAAAACGAGCCAGAAAGAGAAGAAAATTGGACAACAGTTAATAGAAAGAACAACAGATACCCTACCAGACAAGTGAAGAAGGGTGGAAATACGAGCTTAATTGACATTCAAGGGACTGAACGAAAGAAATATTTACACGTTTGGCGTTTAAAGAAGGAAACAACTGTGGAAAATTTAGAAAGATATATTAAGAACGAAATATTAAGCAGTCAGGAAATACAAATTAAAGTAGAAAGACTCAAACACAGGACAGAAAGGGATTATGCTTCTTTTATTATAGGAGTTCCAGAAAGTAAATACGACAAACTATGTCAAACGGAAAACTGGCCAATAAATATCGAGTTCTGTGAATGGGTGTGGTTTCGTAGATCAACCAATAGACCAAACAACAACGAATAAAACGATTGAGATCTACTATCAAAACGTAAGAGGGCTTAGAACTAAATTACAAAACTTTTATGCAAGTATAGCATCGTCGGGTGAGGATTTGTTTGCCATCACAGAAACTGGCTGCAATGAATCAATACATGACGCCGAAATGATTCCACCGGGCTACACAATTTTACGATGTGATCGAGCGGACGGCCGTAAACAGGGAGGCGCGTGTCTCGTGGCCACACCGCGAATTCAAATGCGACAAGTAGCGGTGCCTTGTGACGTCAACATCGAGGAACATTCGTTCGAACTGGTTTGTGCAACCATCTACCTGCGTGATAGACTGATGTTTGTTTTGTGTGTAGTTTATATTGCACCCAAAAGCAAGGAAAGGGAATATATGGAATTATTTAAGATAATTGAACAATATTGTAGTAAGTATAGAAAAGTAATAGTGATAGGAGACTTTAATCTGTATTCATGTCCGCCTAGTGTAAATAATTATTTTGAATATTTTACTGCATACTGTGGGTTCACTCAAAGTAACAAAATAGATAATTGTAACGATCGACAGTTGGATCTAGTGCTGAGTACGTATGGTGGGGACGCGGGGGTGAACGTGCGAGCGGCTGATGTGCCGCTGGTGCCGGTGGACGCGTACCACCCGCCGTTGGTGGTGACCGCGAACCTTCCCCCCGCCGCCGCTGCCGCCGCCGCCGCCGCCGGTAGCTGCCGCGCTATACTTACGGATGGAACTTCGTGTAGCAATAACACGCAGTTTTACCCAGGCTGGAATTTTAGTAAGGCGAATTTCCCATTACTATATTCACTGATAGCGAACGTGGACTGGTCTTCGATGTACGCGTTGGACTGGGAAAGTAGTTTGTCATTTTTCTATGATTGTATTAATTCGATCGTGGATAGATGCGCTCCGAAAAAGAAACGTCAACGCCGGGCTAATAATTTGAAGTACGTTTATCCTGAATGGTACACGGGCGAAATTATTCGTGATTTAAAATTAAAATCTATACTTCATAAACGGTACAAGACGAGTGGATCTAGGACCGATTACGAAGAATTCGCGCGGTGTAGGGCGAGGGTTAAAAGCTCTATTCAAATAGCGGAAGAACGATATTGCCACCGTGTTCAAAGTAATTTGTTAGAGAACCCAAAGTCTTTTTGGAACTATGCCAAATCCAAAAAAGGAAATAGAACCCAAACAAAGATTTTAAAAAACGGTGAAGTGCTGACTGGGGAAGAGTGTGTGGAGGAGTTTGCAGATTATTTTCATTCTGTCTATAGTTCGGAAAGACCGGAGCTAAATGTTGCCGCAGCGATAGCAGAAGCGGGAGGTCAGAATGGAGCGGCGAGAGTTCATGTAGGCCAGCTCAAGCTAGATGACGTAAGCACAGCGCTGCAACGACTTAAGCCAAAGAAGTCGGCGGGGCCTGACGGCCTTCCACCGTATATTTTTAGAGACTGTCGAGCAGTGCTCGCGGAGCCACTTCTGCATATTTATAATCAATGCCTAAAGGCATCGGTGTTTCCAGAAAAGTGGAAGACAACAAGGGTAGTTCCAGTACCGAAGGGAACTTTGGAAACTAGGGTGGAGGGGTACAGGCCTGTAGCAGTGCTGTCGACTCCGGCTAAAATATTAGAATCTGCTATCCACAAAAACATATTCGGGCAAGTTAGCATGTATCTCTCAGACGAGCAGCACGGTTTTCGACCTGCAAGAAGCACCACCAGTAATCTTCTTAACTATATGTCCACAATCTTGCCCTCGGTGGATAGTGGAGTGCAAGTCGACGCAGTTTACTTCGACTATAAAAAAGCGTTCGACTTAGTCGATACGGATATATTGCTAAAAAAGTTGGCGGGGGTAGGATTCACTTCACATTTGCTGCAATTCTTTGCCAGTTACATGCGGGATCGGCAGCAATACGTGGAGTACGGTGGTTATAAGTCAGAACCATATTTCACCAGGTCAGGCGTAAGTCAGGGCAGCAATCTAGGGCCATTAGAGTTTATATTAATGATTAACGATCTGCCTAGAGTTGTACAGGACGCGAAATGTCTGCTATTTGCTGACGATCTTAAGTTGTACTTACCCATACGAAGCTCTGAAGACTGTGCTAGATTGCAGGGGGACGTTGACAGAGTAGTGAAATGGAGTAAGGAAAACCGGTTGCAATTTAACACATCGAAATGTGCAGTAATTACTTTTTCTCGAGCGCATTCACTGTTCCAGAACAATTATAAAATTGATAAGACTCCTATGGCTAGAGTGACCGAAGTCAAAGACTTAGGGATAATAACGAGAACGGATCTATCCTTTAGAGATTACGTTGTTAGGGTGTGTAAAAAAGCATACAGGAATCTAGGCTTTATTCTTCGCAGAGTAAATGGCTTTACAAATATAAAGGCGATAATTGCGCTATATAACGCTGTGGTTAGGAGTCAACTGGAGTGTAATGCGGTAATTTGGGGTCCACATGAAGCAAAATATGCGGTCATGATGGAGAGGGTACAGAATAAGTTCACCAGGTACCTGTACATGAAACAATACGGCGTTTACCCGTATTACCCCTTAATGTACCCAACCCTGTTCGTTTTGGGAATGGTCGGTTATAACACGCTCACGGCCAGGCGCGATCTAGCATTAGTGTCGTACATTTTTAAAATATTTAGAGGTAAGATGTACAATGCAGAGCTTCTGGAGCAAATCTGCATTTATGTTCCGGACGGGTACGTGAGACGTCGGCGGCGGCCGCAGCTGCTGGTGGTGCCGCGCGGGAGGACAAATCTGGTGGATGTGGCTCCGTTGACGCGCGCACTCCGCACTCTCAACTTAGTGGCTAGCCAAATTGACATATTTACCTGTACTTTGAGTGAACTCACAAGGGCGGCTTTATTTACAATATGTTATAAAAAATAATTTAGTATGGTTGTTTTTTAGTTCCTTAGCTATCGCATTAGGTAATAACCTGTAAAGATAGTTATAAGTGTGGGAAATAAATAAATAAATAAATAAATAAATAAATAAATATTGCAGAGATTTCAGAATATAATACTGAGAACTATATCTTGTGCACCATGGGTTGCACCAGTATTCCTTACTGAGATCCATGAATATTTGAATATGCCAACCATCAGGGAAGAAGTAAAGAACTACAGCAAAAAAAATAAAGCCCGACTCCTTATCCACAAGAACGAATTGGCGAGAAACCTGTTGCATTCACAAAACCCAACGCGGTTGAAACGATGGCTCATCTTAAACCTAGATCAACGAATGTGAACACCACTAAAAACCATGACAGGGTATGATGCTCGCAGGAGCAACTCCCTCCATCGCCACAAAGAAAACCCATCTGATTATGGCTTTACAAGCCGATGGCAGATTGAAAAGGAAAAAAAATGTAAAAGAAACTAGCGTCTTGTTTCATTTGATTAGCCTTTTCTTATTATGAAGTTTCCACATCCAAGTCTCCATCAATTGCGTCACATTACCGGACAAAAGGCCATTGATTATGGGCGAAAGAATGATTGTAGCACTTAATCATCCACATTGAATATCGCATTGTCTTTTCCATTTGTATTGTGTGACTGACAAAAATACACCTATTCAGTCAAGTTGAATGAAACGTGACTAAGCGTCGAGTTTTAACGGTTTTTCAAAATATACGTCCGAAGGAAAAAACCAAGGTTTTGTTTTTTTAGACATTTCAAACGAAAAAACCCGTCTCCATATTCCGTGATATTTTAAAGCTTTAGAGAGAGTGAGAGACACAATAGTACGCCGTGTATGATTTTTTTGTTATCCCAAATAATAAGTACCTAAATGAAGTTGGCAGTCATGCAGAAAATATATGATCACCAATAGTAACTTAGGTGTTTTAGATCTAAATATAAAATTGAAGTTTGAGCGCCAAAGAGAGAAAAACAACTTATTTTAATTAGTGCCTATTATAAATTAAGCACCCCAATCAATACAACCAGACACGAGAAATTCCTGTAATTCTAACTAACCGGGTATACTTACTTCAAATAGTGGTCTGTCTACATTATCTACGTAAATTTCTTTTTCTTATTTTGTCGTTCATAAGGTAAATTTATATTGTTATTTTGGTATAATGATTTAAAATTCTTTTGGAATTTTTTTGAAGTAAAAAGAGTTGATATAGCTAAGTTTTTTCTTAAAACAACGTAAGGAAATCGTATAGATTTTTTTAACTTCACATAATGCCGTGTAAAACGCAGAAAAATTGATTAAATGAAGTTGGTGCCATTAAATCTTATCACTGGCGTTTTGCATGCATATTTTTAATGAACGTTCTAAGGTGGTCTAAATCGTATTTTTTTCATTATGCTGCTAGATGCACTTGTACTTCTTTCTTGTTACCTCTCATCTATCGCCCTTTCTCCCCTGCACAGCTGAAACACTACAGGTGCTCAGGACTTGCTTGATAGTATTATGCCCGAAGCGTTTCCCGGTCATAAGTGGTGGCTTACCACCTAGCGGTAAGCGACGCACCTGTCCATAACAGTTACAGTGCCACTCAGAGCTATAAATTTCAAAGATCGGAGGACACTGCCACTACGCTGTCGCCCTGAGACATAAGTTGACAAGTCCCGCGTGCCTGTAATTTCGCCAGCACCCTTACCCTTCTAAACGGAACGCAATACTACTCGCATTACTGCTTGACATCAGAAATTGATAAGGTGGCAGTACTTGCCTGAACAAACTGTTTCACAATAAACTCTACTGCTACAGATATGTGCAGGATAAGTTACTGAGATGTGAGGATATGAGCAGGCTGATGGTTTGGTTCCCTAATGTTGATGAGGACTTGGATTCACATGTCCCTACCACTCTATCCAACTCTCCTGGAGCTTGTCGAGGAAGTCTGACCTTTATTTTTTTTTTTTAATAATAACGCACATACTCAACATAGCCCTGCACTAGGGAAACCCTGTGTCGCGGGTGCCATGGACACGCACACAGACAACCACAAATTACACCCAAACGAACGAGAGAAATAAATGTAGGCCATACAAATATTTCTCCCGGTCCGGGAATTGAACCTGGGACCTCTGCGTGGCAGTCATGATAACCGTTCGGCCACAGAGGCAGTTTATGAGAAATAATTTAATGGGTCCCAGTGTATTTAGGAGGACTTCGATACACGTGTCCCAACTACCCTTTCTTACTCTCCTAAAATTGTCGGCGAATTCGCATATTCCGAAACTTATCCGTGAAATATGTCTTATACGAAATTGATACTTATACTTGATATTATTTTAAAAAAGTACCGGCTTTATCTGATCTTGAATCAGACGTGGCAAAACAATCTCAATCCGGACTGAAATTTTAAAAACATACGACATACATACTCATTCATAATACATCTAGGCATTTTCGCTTTTTTCCCATGGCTAAGCAGACACCACAACGACTACAGACCGGGCGCAACAAATTTAAAAAAATTACTTTGGCGTCATTTTAATTAAAGTACCTACCGATACACTATGATGGCCGTTTTAACAGATAGTGAGGTGAAATCTCAATTCATTATAGAAAAAAATACAATCAAATGCGAGTTGCATCTATAAATTTTTAAATTTATAACTAGTATTGCAAGAAGTACCTGATTAAAAAGTTTTAAGTTTTTTTTATAAAACGAAAATAAAAATGTGGCCTTAAAACGTTATATGACACGATCGTATTGATTGCATTTATTAAAATTCCTAATTTCGAAAAACAAGTGCCGAGTTGTGTCGTAAAATTATTACCAAGTAGCTCCTTCAACGTAGTTATGAATTAACCCGAAACTTGATGAGCGGACACACGTCAAAACGGCCGTCATAGTGTGCCAGTACTTTAGAATGTTGTGTGCGTGTCACGAGCTAGGGCGCTTTAGATTTGGGGTCCCTGATATTATGCAAATATTTTTGTACCGTGTCTATCTTTGGATAAAAATATTATGTTTTTTGGCCTTACAGCATGTGCGAAGCTCTACGGGTACTGGATAGTAGTAAACTACAGGGAAGCCTACAGCATGTTTGCCTGCAACGGGTTACTGTTCAATCATGAGAGTCCACGTAGAGGCGAGAATTTTGTTACTAGGAAGATCACTCGAGGAGTGGCCAAGATCACTTTAGGGCTCATGTCGTTACTCGAACTCGGCAACTTGGATAGTAAGCGAGACTGGGGACACGCCAAAGATTACGTTGAGGTAATGTACTCCAAAAGCTGGCGGGTTTATTTAATTAACTACATGAACATTTCCGTTATAGTCTAGTTCATAAGGAATTAATGATTTCGCTACCTGACAGTACACACGAAATTTTTATCAATTCAATCCCTCCTTAAGTTGGTGTTGTAAAGCCACTAGAGAAGAAGAACTTTCAAAGAAATCAATGTATTTAGACATCCATCCGAACTGACGGCCTCGGTGACCTAACGGTTTACACTGTGGGCGCTGGATGCGAAGGTCCCGGGTTCGATACCTGGTAAGACCATTGGGGAAATGAATTTTTCTAAGTTGGTTCTGGTGTGAGCATTCTGGGAAGTGCCCCAGAGTGAATTCCCCTGTTCTGGTACTCATAGTACAAGGAATTCCCACGTTTAAGACCAGGCAATTGGTGTAGTTGTCTCGCAAATTATTATTATTAAAAATGCTATTTATGGTGTTAAGCATGGAAGTGCCTTTAGCCTCGATTACTATCGGAACCGCTGTCGCCAAAACTAGCACATTCATAATATGAAATACTACGAAATCTTGACAATAATTGGCCATAGTTTCTTATTTAAAATCATGTAACAAAATCAAGATTGTTAATATGAACTTTACCCAGCCGCTATACCGTTCAAAGTTCAATACCTTTGTTGCAAGTTACGACGTTTTTTATTTTATATTGAAATTTAATTATTTTGTAGTCAGACTACGACGAACAATTAACATCTGAATCAATTCGATAAACAGAAAATGTATTAAAATAAGACTTACGGATGATATGAAATGCTTCTGCGGCTAATATTTTTGGTGCGGCTATCTTTTTGCACTCCAAAACAGCAATAAGGCATTTTTCTGCGATTTTAAAGAATTTGCGCGAAAGAATGACACAACCATACAACACAAAGCTAAAATGGCGGACTGAGCTCAAATAGGTCTTTCGAGACCTCATGTTGGCACGCATCAGACGCTAACTAACCACTTCTACTGTATTTATTGTTCTGTGGTGTTAATAAACCTAAATCAAACAGGCAATGTGGCTGATGCTCCAACAAGACACTCCAGAAGACTTCGTGGTAGCAACTGGGGAGACCCATAGCGTACGCGAGTTTGTCGAGAAGGCCTTCGCCTGCGTTGGCCGACGGATAGTGTGGAAGGGTTCCGGTGTCGATGAGACGGGCCACGACGCCGATACTGATCAAATGCTCGTTAAAGTCAATCCCAAGTTCTTCAGACCTACTGAAGTGGTGAGTACCGATGACGACCGCAGAACGGTGTGTTCTGTAGGCGCTGGATGAGGACGTCCCGGATTCAATTCATTCAAGTTCCATTAGTATTGTAAATTGGTTCTGGCCTAAGCGTCCTGGATATTCAAGTACCAGTCGGCCTTTACCTATATATAGTACAGGGTGTGCGGCGCACACGGAAGTAGGATCTTAGGGGGCGCCGAACGCCGTTCGCATAGTGTGAAGTAAACGGGCTATTGCTTCTCAGCATCATTTATTAATTACACCATTTGTACCCGAATTTCCGATCACTGGGGAAAATATAACTGTAAGTATTCCATTTAGATCGCGTGGCTATAGAGGGCGCCAGGGTATTGATTGCACCCGGGCGCTACATGGGCTAGCGCCGTTGTTGCATAGTATAGGGAATTCACCAACCTTCTACTCCTAGTACATTATTACAATCTTAGGGACGTATTATATGAATAACTTAAAACTAAATATATCAAACAGTTTCAGATAAATACCACTTGCAATTGAAACTTGAATTAACGTGAAACAAAAGAGAATTGATAACAACAATAAAAACACAAATGAAAATACAAATAATAATACATTTGGTATAGTATAAGAACTATATGGGTTCATATTGTTTTACATACATATCAAAAAATTGTTTGTGATTAATTAACACTGATCCTTCCAGACTTCCTTGATCCAGACGCTGCGCAGACGGAGCAATTTTGATCCTTGAGTTTCCGGAACTGGCAACCCGCAACTACTTGTTTATGACGTTTTCAATATTATTTCATGAAACTACGCAGACGTAGCCACTGCAGTTGAGAGTTTCGCTAATCAATAACAGTTTTTGATTGTCCAAAATCTGTGATTAAATAATTAATTACATTTGTACCGGTTGTCTAAAGTTGTCAATTTTCCCAAACGCGACACGTTGAGCTACTACTCTCCCTCCCCGTCCCCCGCAGCGTCAGTCTTACTCTTGCTAATGACCATGTATTTCGAAAATTTATTTCAAATTGCGGCAACCGTAATCTGGGCCTTTTTGTTAGCAACCGTTAACGGACACTTGTCAGTTGCGTCAACTAAAATTGCTCCACGTACGCTTTAGAATCTAATTGAATTTAGATTGAGCGTGCCAATAGCTCCGCTATCTATCTGGATAATGGGGAGGGTGCTGTACATGCATCATGTAATAGTGTCCTTACCGTATGACCAACGGTTGATAGAGAGGGGCACTATAAACAAAACTTAAGTAGTAAGATATGGGATTGCTCCTTCTGCGCAGCGCCTAACCCTGCTTCCTTCTTTCTTCCTTCCTGGCCTTCGCCAGACGCGGACTCGTCATAGTTATCAGAGTGACGAACAGACCCCGTGACCTTGTGTCTTTTGAGTTGTTATGTGGCTTGTAGTGTTAAAAAAGTATCTACTTTGTAAACGTTCTTATATACCACCCCAACATTTCACTGACATTATCATTTTTTGTTAAGGTGTAGACCAAATATTGGACTGTAGGCATTGACCTACCAACAAATGGACATCGGGTCTAATACAAAAACCACGAAAAAAATGTCCGAGGTTAACCTATACTACAAACGTAGTGACATGTAACGAAATATAAAAAACTAAAACATTTAATTTAAATTGTAACGTCATTGCAGTACTGCCTAAATTCATCAGTGATGTCTTATTCCCGGAGAGATCCAATACTCAATGAGTACAGCCTCGGTGGCACGACCTTGAACCGTGTGAAGTCTGTTCGTGATTTGGGAGTAAGATTCGATTCTGAACTCAAATTTAACGATCATATTATCGATATATGTAATAGTGCTTGGAAAAGTATTGGCTTCATCAAGCGGCAATCTAAGTTATTTGACCATCGACAGGCAATTTGTAATTTATATAACGCCTTTGTTCGAACTAAATTGACTACTAAATTAACTACGTGCGCAGTGTGGAATCCCCACAATAAACTCTATATAGCAATGTTAGAACGAATCCAGAAATCATTTTTGAGGTATTTGTATAGTAAACTTTATGGGTACTATCCCTATATGTACCCTACACCCTTTATTTTGGGCATGGTATCGTACAGATCGCTTGAGATCAGGCGAAAACTGGCGCTACTAAATATATTTTTAACCTAATAAGAGGATGTATAATTAACCCTCCTCTATTGGCTCAAATTCCTTTTTTTTTATCCCGCCAATCTCACGCTACGTCTTTCGTCAGCGCAAATACCCTCTATTCAACTTTCATTTAACCCGCACAGTTACACTAAGACGGACATCATTCTTCGAAGCAGTGGCCGTAATTGAATCGTTAAACAAAACAAATGATATTGACGTGTTCAGCAACACTGAATCAAAATTTCTAACATCCGCTGGTTACTATTTGGAGGCGGTCACTGCCCAAAGCTCTATGGTCCAAATACCGCATCCTATGCCGGTGATCGACTCAACCTTTTTTGTGACTATGACTTACATGTTTAGTTATAAGTAGTGTAAGTGTAAGGTGTACAAACTAAATAAATAAATAAAGCTTACAACAATTTAAGGGCCCAAAAACACCATATTCTCTTTTGGAAACTTAACAAAACGCACCATATTTAGCTTCGACTGAAAATTACTTCAACACAAGAGTAATGGAATAGGAATAGCCTATATATTCTCGTAAATATTAATTAATTTTTTTATATATATTATTATGTCGAATTTTGTACAAATTCACTTAAAGGTATAACAAAGAGTTGGGCAGATACATACATACAAATATTACTATAAAATTATTAAATGTGAAAATAAGCGTGTACTATAAGAAACGTACCGACATTCTAACTAAACGTAAACTCAAATATCCGTAATTCCGATTTATAACAAAACCGTTACGCTTTCGGGTAATTTTGATGCTTTTTACATAGACAAAATTTGCTTTTGTTTTGTAATCTTCGTAAAAACACATTATGAAAATTCGAGCTAATGTTATTTCGGGCAAATGTATTTTCTGACTTCTGACAGGTAATCCCATGCCGTAAAACGACTACAACAATATTTTGTTAGTTATTGCTAACGTTGAATAAAAAAAATCATTTTAAAAATAGGGTTAAAATCAAAGCAACTCTTCAATTTCTTTGTTCTAAATATTTCAATCGCTTGTGGTTCGAACAATTGAAAATGACCAAGAAATTTATATAAGCTTCTTGAAACTAACGTAATGAGTCTCTTTCCATCTTTTGCGTATGCAATGAGTAGAAAAAGGACAGTTAGCTATTTCATTATTTCGTGTGCTTTTGTAATTTATATTTATGATTCAGTTATATATAAATTAAATACTATAAAACTGTACAAAATAATACTTTAAATGACAACTATGATAACACAATATTTTTGTTTGGTGAAAATATGATACAAAATCCTGTTTTCACACTTTACTGCAGTAATTTTTACAAGTTATTATTATTAGCACTGCATGATTGACAACCGCTCTGTCACTCGAACAAACGAAGACTATTACGCGATTGACGCTCTGTATGCGATTTTAACGCCCTACAGGTGCGGACACTTTCTAGCGCGAACCCGACGCCCATTTATTGGTAGGTCAATGACTGTAGGTCTATTTTGGTATGTTTGTTTCAATATATAATTTTTTTTCCGGATTTACATGGCGTACATTTGTTTTTTTTTTTTTAAACAAACCAACGTTTCGGGCTACTTTGAAGGTCACATTGACCACGGTTGGCCACGGTTGACCGTTGTTTGAAAACCAAATATACGCGATTTAAATCTGAAAAAATTGCTTCATTTCGTATATGTAACAATCGCAAAAACCTAAGAATGTAAATTAATAAATCAGTCAACCGTGACCATGGGACCTGTAAAGGGCCCGAAACGTCGGTTTGTTTGAAAAAACAAATATACGCGATTTAAATCCGGAAAAGTAGTTTCATTTCCTATGTGTAACAATCGCGAAAACCTAAGAACTCGAAATGTAAATTAATATTGCAAATTCTCCAGGACCTTCTCCTAGGTGATCCGACAAAAGCGAAACAGCAACTCGGGTGGACACCAAGAGTATCATTCGACCAACTCGTCCGAGACATGGTGGATGCGGACATAGAACTCATGAAGCGGAATCCTGAGGCGTAGGTGTGAGGTCAGGGCGTGCAGATACTTGCATGCTTGGCGATGGTGAATTGAGAAGTTTTTTAATCAGACTCCAACTTATTTTATTTTTTGGCCATTGTTAAGTGCATGTACAATCAAGATTCAATTTACATAGCGAGGAATGGAATGGAAGTGAATTGTAGCAAAATAGTATATGGCATAGTGAACTTTATGTCAATTATGTAACGTGTATAAAAACATATTTTATTTACCTCGACGTTTCGGACGTATTGCAACGTCCATAGTCCCAAAACATATTTTATTTACCTCGATGTTTCGGACGTTTTGCAACGGTGATGGTCTCGAAGGGACACGATTAAGTTCTGAATTTAAAATCAAATCTTTGGAAAAAAATCGTGTAAGTTTAAGTCAGTAAATTGTGTAACGTACAAACTAGATACGATACTGCGCGAGAATTTTCCGGAAGACGCGCAACCTGTTTTTTGGCTTATATAAAAATTATATTCCTGATATCATCCTTAGGATACCATTGGTGCTCTCACACAATCGCAACATCTGTGACGCACTTTTTTTGCGCTTGATTACGTATACATCATCAACACACGCATCCGCAAACATGCCAGAGGCGCTGCAAAAGAGAGGAAGCCTCAACAGAACCCTAAAGATGTTATTATACATTACACGAAAGGCGTTGTACGCTCGCTGTGTGAAGTTGGTCGACAGTGCACCTGTATAAAAATTCTGGTAATAAGCTCTGAACAGTTATTTTTACATTTACAGAGCGTCTTGGAAACCTCTGAGCCAATTTTACCGCGTACCGACAACACCTTGCGCTCCATTAAGGATACACCATTTAGAAGAAGCGGTGGAATATTATTTGGGTCTTTATACTTAAAAACAAGAAATTCGCTCTTCTTTTCATTGTACCTCAATCCATGCCTCACGGCATAAGTTTCACACAAATTCAGCATCCTTCTCTGAGCTCATCGATCAGCTGATTCACATATATGTTGAAAAGTCTAGGAGAACAAAGTCCACCCTGCCTCACACCACGTTCATTCGTTTTCTAGCAAATACATGCAGTATTTGCTAGAAAACGAATTTGCCCATTTGACAACATTTTTCTGACTGTTACATCAATGTGACAGCAAGCCTACAACCTCAAGAGAAACACCAATGTTTATTGTTTAGGCCAGAGTATGTTATACGAGACCAAATCAAATGCTCTTGATAAATATAAGAAGCAGGCGTATATAGGTGTCTTCCTTTGTAAGTAATAGCCTACAGTGTATTTTAATGCCAGTACAGCACTTTCTGTTGACATACCCTCCCGAAAACCAAATTGAGCGTCGTCTAATTTTATACAACTGCTAAGATGATTATCAACTATCTTATCTAAGACCTTTGCTATCAGTTGCTAAGGAAATAGGTCTGTAGTTGCCTTTATCTGCAATATCACCTGTACGGTTTTTAACCAGGAGTATGACAACAGTTTTCATTAGGTCCGGAGGTAAGTATGTGTGTCTCGGAGAGCAAGTGAACAACATAGACAAAAGTCTTTATATGTGTGCCTTCGTGCTATAAGCGCTCAATGCTGAGACCGTCATGCCCTGGAGACTTACCTCGTTTCATATTTTTAATTGCAAGTAACACATCCTTACTAGGTATATACATAGGTTGCTTGACATGACCAGTCTCAGCACTGGGCTTCCCACAGGAATCAAGAGGAGATTCGACCTTAAAATGGTCCTTAAAAACATTGGCAATACTTGACGGCTCACTGCAACCATCAACACTGACTTGCATGCTTGGCTTAATTTCTTTGTACTTTTCCAAAACTGTCAAACTGTTTTTAAGCATGTTGTGAAGCAAGCATGTCTTATTTAATCTGCTCCTGATTGTTTATGCTATGTACAATTTTATTGCCAAATTCATTTCCATTCCATTCCGCTACAGTGTAAATTGAGCCTAAAAAAGCTATTTTGCAATAGTGATGCCTAGTGATTAACTTCCGGTAATCGTTAACATTTGAACATCGACTAACGTAACCCTATTATCATCAGCCACAAAACATTTAACACATTGCTTTATTGCAACGTTAATAAAAACGGCACAAATACTGTACAAATATGTTTTTAATACAAAGAAATATGAATCAGATACAAAAATGTGTTTGTTTTAAGATAGCATGCATGTAATCTGCAAGTACCGCTTTATCATCCATTTCCACTAATTAAGAGTATTCAAATTGGCAAGGATTTAGTACGTATCTTCCTTGGTTTATTGATTAAAAGACCAGTTTGTTAGTAATCACTGGAGGTGTGCGCCAATCGTTAATATCGGTGGCGGCATCTGATGGTTTTTCAACCACCAGTGTCGTCGGCGTGAAATCGGCGAGTCGTATATTTTTCAGGTGTTTAAAAAACACTAAAATATTGTTTAAATCAACATTTGTATTAATTTTTAACACTTTAAACTGTAAAAAACGTAGTAGTGCTGTTGCTAGCAAAATCAACTTTAAAAACGATTGAAAATAAAACAATCACATACATAGTTATAAATAAACGTTATTAATTTAAATCTAGTATAAATAGGATGTACGTAGACGTTCCGTGATTTAATCCATTTATACGGAAATATTGTATTAAAATTTAGTAAATAATTAGCAAACAAACTGATATTTCATTAAAATAAAACAAATTGTCGCCATGTCGATTTCACGCCGGCCTAGTTCGTCGGCGGTGGCGGCGCAGCACACATGCCTATTTGGTATAATACTAACAAATCGGTTTTATATTGAACCGGAAGCATAGGGCTATTATTATTGACATAAAGATCAAAGAAAAATTCCTTCGATCTGACCGGACACGAGCCAGCGTCTGTTACCACACCGGGACCACCGCTCCTACCAACTAAGCAACAAATCGAGTCAGCAAATCTTACGAATTTGTTTATGAACTTGTTGCAGATCTTTGTATTGGGTTTTAAACGGATTTTTCCCGACAACGCCACCTGTGAGAAACTTATGAAAGTTTTTTCACTCAGCCTAACTTTAGAGGCTGACGAGAGATGTCGCTATATTAATTGCAATATCTATTTTATTGATAATACCATGTTTTTACGACCATGGTATGCGTATATTTTTTTGTGAAAATAAAATAAAATACATGAAAGTAATTGTAGAAAAATTATCATAATATTCAATAAAATAAATATCGATATGTGTGTTCACACCGACACGATCAACGTAACATGTCATCACTTTTGTAGCTAACTGCAGTAACCCATATTTTTGTAGTAGCTGAGTCAGATCTTTATTCCTGTCTACACTGTTTTATATGAATTCACACTTTTGGACACATAATTCGAGGCACCTACCATTTTCAGTGTTAAATGCTTAGACCGTATTTGATTAATCAAAGACTATTGCGCAATTTTGAAAGTGGTATACTAAAATTTGTCCTAAACTAAAGTTGGTATACTAAAAGTTGTAGTTTGTTTGTTGAAAATTTTAATTTGTAAAACCGGGGATAACCTTTTTTTTCCGATGATAACAATATTTTTGCATTCTAGCCCTTCAAAAACTAAATTCGACGTGACTCAGATTATGTGTTCGAAAGTAACGTTAACGTTGGAATATAACGAGTTAAACACACGCTCAAAATGTGAAATACTAAACCGAAAATAAGTTGCTCTGAATGCTTTAATGTCTAACTCTATCATAAATTTACAAAATAAAAGCTGACGCCCGCCTAAAATACTTTTATAGAAAATTGCACAGCGTCTCTTGCGGCCACAAAAAGAACTAAAACTGGCCATAAAAATACTAAGGCCCGGCGCTCATTGACGGGATGATACGGCAGGTAATTTTAAGGTGACGAATAATAATAATAAACCTTATGGTTATAGCATTATAATTCATATTTCAATTATAATAGTCGTAGCTACAAAGCTGCGGTAAAGTTACAGATACCGAGCCGGCAACCTCCGGAATACCTCGACAGCCTTTGGGATGCTTCAACAAGCGTCTGAAGGTTATTCACCCAAAACGTCCTTGGAATACGGTTCTCATTTTCTCATCAGAAAATCTGGTTTTATTATAAGCCTGTTCTCCCACTGCTGGGCAAATGCCACCTCTTTTTCTTTTCCTACTTTTAAATATACAACTGGTTAGAATCCTATTTGCAACGTCACGACTGATCAGAAGAAAGACTAGTTGCGAGTACGATGTCGAGACGTTAGGCCTCGGCATGCCTAAGAATACCGCGGCATAGATGCCGTCAGTGTGCGCTTGCATCTAGGTATGCCGTAGGATCCCTTGCTTTGTGGTCCCGCCAATACGCGCCGGGCTTAACCGGCGACTATCAACAAACTGCAAACTCGTGGTTTGCAGTTTGTTGATAGAAGTAAAAGACACGTCTTAATCTCGTCAAAATTATTAAGATATCAATCGGCCACAAGCGAAGATAATAAATCGCCTTTAGCGCGAAAGAAAAAATTTTCTTCAGTTTGAGTATTTTACATTTTTTTCATCCATAAAGTATAGAACGGATACATACTACATTATAATTCCAAAATTATTTTTTTCTTTTTTTACTATTTCAGAGACAGAGACTGTACTGTGTCATCACGAATGGACTTGGAAAGCGTCCTTGCCTTCTGCGCAGTAGCGTACTAGCATTTAATTCGGTTCTGGGACAGATTGTTAAATCAATCGCAACGTAACAATCAGTAAGGATTGAACCACTGGACCACACCACGCCCTTACCCAAAGCGTAATTTCCATCGCTCTATGGTCTACCACTAACAAACATCACGTCAAATGTAAATATCGCTCAGCAGTGGCGTAGCGTCGATTTCTGCCGCCCGGAGTTATCTAAATTTGCGCTCCACTATTTTCACGATTACAAAAGTAGTAGTAATAATTTAGTCAACTTAGGCCCGCGCTCGCCGTCGCCCCCATTGTTGTGCCGCCAGAGGCCGTGACCCCCTCTGCACCCCTCACGCTACGCCATTGTCGCTCAGTCGGGGTTACTTTATACATAGTTGATCCGTTGGTAGTGGAAACTGAGAACCTTTGAGCATATACCAGGTTGCCCTGTCAGCCTCGCTTACTACATGTATGTTTAATTATTATTGATGCAAATATCGAACACAAAGAAAAAAAATTCCCTCAACCTGACTGAACTCGAACCAATGTCTGTTGCCATGCCGCGGCTACCGCTCTTGATCACCTGAGCTGCACACCGAGACAGCAGACCTTACATTACGTTTAAACGACTTTTTCGCCGTTAGCGCACCTGTGAGAAACTTATAAAAATTACTCACTCAGTCCCGATATGGGAAAAGACACTGGCTTTTTGTGTTCTGATATGCGGTTCCAAACGTTGAAATGGATTTTTATAAATTAATTGAACTATATAATAAAGAGTTCTTACAATAATACTTAAGCAAATGTGCACTGCTTTTTTCTCCTGTTAATACAGCGCTACCTGATTATGTTAACGCAAATCTGTGTATTAGTGGGTGTACTGTACCAACGGATCACGCGTAGTCGTCACTCGCACATTTCGTTTCGTTTTTTTTATGTGCCATACAACCCTTATTAAGTACCTTCGGATAAAACTAAGAAATTCCACTGTGAGTACAAGGTAAAATTACAAAGCACAATAACCGAACAATGTGCAAACAAAAGGCAATTGTTTTTCCGTACCTAAAGGATTAATAATTATACAATATTTTGTGTAGAGACGCCTTACATAACGTAAAGTAATATTTGTGCGCGGTGGTACCATTATCAACATTCAATTATCTGCCGGTAGTACCTATGTTTGCACTTACGTACCATAAGCAACCCATGCAATCAAATAATTGATTTAGTAAATAAATACTGTAACGAAAAAACATACCTATTACTAACGCCAAGCAGTAATGTGAGCATTATCTGACGGCCGCAATGGTAGTGCTCCTCAGATCATTGCGATTTAAAGCTCTGAGTTGCATTGCAATTGTTATAAAGTACGTGTGTCGCTTACCTCGAGACAGTACAGTTTAGTAGCAGTGGAGCTTCTTGTGAAAGAGTTTGTCCAAGGAAGTACTGCCACCTTACCTATTTCTGCCGTCAAGCAGTAGTTAACGTGAGATGTACGTGTGCTGCATAACGTAACGTGTACTGCGTTACGGTTTTGAAGAGTCGGGTGCTGGTGAAATTACAGGTACATGGGACTTGTCAACTTATGTTTCAGGATGTCGGGTGCAGTGGCAGTGCCGCTCAGATCTTAATGATTTAAAGCTCTAAGTGCCTCTGCAGCTGTTTTGGACAGGTGTGTCGCTTACCATCCCGTCACTCGGTAATCATTAAAAAATATAAGGTGCCAGTGAAATTGGCGTTAAAACATAGACTCGTAAATACCCAATGAAAATTATCAATGTAATCATACAGAACCTGGGTACTGCTCATTATTCAATTCCTTATAATTATGGTAAGAAATAATTTTCAATTAAATTATTTATAAGTATCTTGAGTTTTGGCGTCGAGTTCTTAAAAAATTAAACACACCGACAGATTAAGTGGAACAAAAAATTATAGTATAAAATAGTATTTTGGGGATTTTACTAATGTTCCACTAAATTTGGCAGTGTGTGAATAATATAAATTACAATCAAGACATTCTACGAAAAGTGTAAGTGTAAAGGAAAGGCAAGAAAAATAAAGATAATTACGCGCTGATGGCTTTTAGCTAATTAAAGTGTCAATATTTTTCTGTGACGATTGCCGAATAGTGTATTTTTAACCGACTTCAAAAAGAGGAGGAGGTTCTCAATTCGTCTGTATGTTTTTTGCATGTATGTTACGCGATAATTCCGCCATTTGTGAACCGAAAAATGATGATGAAAAATAATATTGCAGTATTATGTTACGTATAGAGCTTGCACCGGTCTGATTCGTAAATTACCCAGTTTTGGACTATGCTCGGTACCGGTACTCCCGATATTCCCGGTATTTCTTGAAAATCCGAAGCTGTAACCAGCATGCTTTTAACTCAGATTACAAAACAATAGGCAGATGGAGCATACGCAACAAACGAAGTGAAAAGTTATTCCATAATATTTTTTTGTTTTTGGGGACAACTTTTACAATGTTTAAAGACACAGGACGCCATATTTAAATATAAAATAACTAATCAATCGTAACGTGCAAACAGTGCGACGCTGAGCTTAGTACTGACGCGAGTTTGTATTCGCTTTTGAATTTGTATATGCTTTGGCGCCTTCACTTTCGTGTTCGGCGCGCTCCATCTGCCTATGTTTTGTAATCCGAGGCTTTCAAATAGTAATTTGACTTCATCCAGATAACAGTACAAATCGGGCACCGGTTGTGGAATAGCCAAGTCGTTAGAAAATAGAGACAAACACAAGTTGACACTCGAACGCTTGACAAGCACAACGTCGAATAAGAACAGTCACAAAAATCCCACATTACGGGGCTGCAGGCTGCACAGGTGGAGGTTAAAAGGCTGCAAGTGGCCTGCATCAGCGGTATAACTGTTTCGCTCGCACATTTAGATTATTTTACTACTATGTCTTTCTGTCAAACAACACATACATACATTATATACAGATACAGATAATGTTTTCACAATTGCACATTTCAAGTATTTTTTTACTAGTAATTGGTCAGTATGGTCGTTTCGGTTAATGAAATATTAAATCTACATACATTTTTTTGATTTTTTCGTTACGAATGCGCTTTCCATGTTGGCGAGCAACCGAGTTTTAGTTACATATAAATTATACAAGTAGAACGACGCGCGGGACATTCGGTAGGTTCCTTGCTATAACCGGAAGTACCGGGTATCTAAAATCGCGGTACCGAGACTGATTGAGCAAGCCCTAGTTGCGAACGACTTAAAAACGGTTCGCATCAATTTAATAGTAAGAATATTCTCTCTCTCAGGTTTGGAAACCGAGATTGACGTTATTTCTGTCTTTACTATTTCATTTGTGGACACACAAGTTTGTGCGCAATACTGGCAAAGCTATTTATTTGCTTAATTATTTTGTCTTACAGCTAATTATATTTTAATTAATTGATTTTGACTGATTATATTAATATGTCATCCGACTTTCTGACCTCATAATCTCTGTAATTTGGTATGGGTGTTTAACTATTTTTCCAATAACAATGGATAAACCCTTTTTTAAGGCTCACAATAACCGCACAAGTGTTATTTCTTTATAGTGAACTACTTGTACAATTCAATATTATTAATAATAAAGAAATTGGCTCCGTACAATAAATTCGCAGCGACAATATATATACCAAGTATATAGTTCATATATACCAAGAACGCTGCGTTCTTGATATATATGAACAGATATTTGTTGTAAATCATAGTTTATAATTATATGCAAAGGTAGCTGTTTAAGTTAAAAAATGACGTAATTTAACGGAACATTTGTTATTATCTTAAGAACCTCTCAAAGTATCGAATATTCTGTATTACGTTTGGAGCAACATTTAAGAATGGCAATTTTTTTTTATAAACGTGTTCATGAAATCAAAATACTAACATTCCGTATTTTTTTTTATTTTTACAAAATGTAAAATGGTTTATATAAAAATATAACAATTTTTTCTCGCCAGTTTTTGAGTTACATTATATATTTTATGGGGACTTTGTAAATAATAAATGATTGTTATGAATGGAATAAAATTTGTTTTCCTTCCTCTATTCTTAAATAATTATTTATTTTACGTAGTTTTGCTGTGTATTTTTTTATTTATTTAAAGTTTGTCAACAGTTGTTACAGCGAAACAAATACTACAGTCTTTAGCTAGATACACAAGAAATAGTTATAGGTGAAACACAACTTGCACTGCATATGAGCAGGATAATTAGAATTTTAAACTATGTATTTTGAATATAAAAAGTAAGTTTACTTGTTAAGGACTGCCTTGCGGATACCGATTAGAAAAAACCGAGAACATATCTATTGTTGTTGCACTATACTCATTATGTAATTTAGACACTGACTGATGAGACGAGGCCCAATTGGAGGTAGTTAAGCAAAAAGGATCCAATCCACAAAATTATCAAAAAATGACGGTTCCTAAAGTCTAACCTCTTAGATCAGCTAAAAAAACCCGCCACATAAACATAAATAAATATCTCTGGAGTTACATAACGTTATGTTTTGAAAGTAAAACTAGAGTGAGAAACACTTTTAAACTTCAAACTGCCATAATCTCAAAAGTGGCTGAATGTGAATTGGGTCCTTTTTGTTTAACTAAGTCCAATTTGGTTCGACTAAGTTGTGGTAACAAAAGTTAATTATTACGAAGCTTTATTGTAATAAAAGGTCATTTAATATCACCAACACAATATAAGCAAACATTCGGCAATCAAATTAATATTAAGTACGATAATTAAAAAACATGTAAAATATTTAAGAATTAAAATATCTTAAAATCTGAAATGTCGTTTAAAAGCAAGCAAGTAAAATATTATCATTAACATATGACAGGTACATGAGAAAATCAAATATTGATACTAGATTCAAAATATTGCTCAACAATATTTTTAAGGCTTAGGCATTGCCGCGGAATGGAAGCGAATTTTTGTAACGAAATTGTATATAGCATAATCAACTTCATATCCATTGTGTAACGTAGGATTTCCCAAGAATGCATGAAAATTCTCCGGAAGACGCACGACTTGTTTTCCAGGTTCCGGAAATACCGGGAAATCCCGCTTCAGAGTCACGGTACCGTGACTGAACATCGCGCATTTCTGTCGACTTGTGTTTTATAAGCAGAGGTCGCATAATCAGATGCTTAGTCAGTTTCACGCTAACATGGAATGCGTTTTGTATCGAAAAAATCTCCCCTCACAATTGACAAAGTTCGATAGTATAATTCCTATGGTTACAAAATTCCGCTTCCACTTTTTTTAGTGGCAATATAAATTGAGCCTTTTATACTTTATCATATTTAAAAGTAGATAACTAATTACAGTATTTTTAAGTCCAAGTTCGGGGTCATTAAGTATTTCACGGAAATTGACGACTGCATTTGCATTTCGGTCTGATGCATTACATTATTTGAAATCAAAAGTTTACCTTAACAGTTTCTCGTAATGCTGTGAATCTTGGACTTACTAAATAGTACCGAACGTAACTACGCTAATCACATGCCACATTTAAATATTTTTTTCTCTTTGAGGTAGGTAGGGAATGTATCGAAAATAGAATTAATTGAATCATCGATGGTAGATTTCGATACTTTCTAATTGTAATGTAAAGATGTGTCAAACTTGTAGTAAAGATACTGTACAATTGGTTTTGAGTAACATACGAATTTGAATATCTCTAACAAGTATACACAATATCAAGACCGTATTTAAAAAATAGCACAACATTTTCTCATACCATTTTTCAAAAAATAAACTCATTTAAAATCCACTTATTAAGTACCTTTACCTACCGGTTGACACAAATATATCACAAGACAAGACTCGTAAACGACAAGTTTTTTTTTTGGCAGGGGATCTGATATCTGCGTTTTGAGATTTTGCATCCTCATTTTTTAATAACATTGTAATTTTCTTACATTTTTGAGTTTTTACGGTTGTTAAAACTACCTACCTATGAAAGTGAACACCTTTCCGTGAAAGACGTTTCGTGAAGAAGTTTTCCTACGAATCCCATCAAAGCTTAAATAAATATTTCATTAATTATCCGATCAGCTGATTGTTTTGTATGATGAATTAATAAAATTGGGCCTTGGGTACAGATTAGGTTAGTTTCACTGAGGGAAGGATGTTCTATCTTATGTAACAAACTAAGAAATTTTTAAATGTAGGTACTTATTTTTATCCTTCGTAAAAGTAATCATACAAATTATGCACTGGATGGACTTTTTACTGGATTATTTATTACATTTATTAAGAAATCACTACGGGAGTAATTTGCTTTAAAAAATTCCAATTTCAATTGGGAACACGAAAACACTTGGAATGGTAATAGGCCAAACGATTTTCAACACTCTTTTTCTTGTATACACTTGGGTCAATATGAGAGCTTCTCTCCACTTCTCCGAATCCCTATTAACACCGTTTGATCAAAGTGTGTATATTAGTACACTTTGAATCGAACGCTCTATTATCCTGGTCAGGCCAGGATCGATCCAAAATCTAAGTTTTAAACTATACATATACAATCTGAATATACTCAAGATTGGATAGTATTGTAAATTTCAGGTAACTTTTGATAACATTGCATTGTATAGTGACTGTAAAGTTACACACAAAAATTGTAATTTTTCATTCTATTCAATAGGTATACTGTTAATATTGTTCTAAGACTTACGTGGTAGTTTCTTTTCCCTTACTTTACAAAACAATGCAAGTTATTTGGGACACTTCTGTAGTCTAAATGTTCAAAAGTTGTTTCGTAATTATATGTACAATGAACCTCAAAAGGTTGATTTGATCCGACGCACTACCACTAAAACAAAACCACGAATACCATTTACAATCACCTCTTTACACAATGCACCGGTTTATAAAGAATACCGCGCATTACTTTTGCAATACATAATTTAAGCCTAATAAGTTCTCCCACGGAAAACAGGCAGTAAGTATAAGGCTCAATTTACACTGCTGCGGAAGGGAATAGAATCGTATTTTTGTTAACCATAATGAACTATGTCAATTGGACAAAGTTATGAAAACAAGAACTAACCCACACCTAGAGTGAAATTGAGTTATGTATTTAGGTAGAACATCAGACGTGTCCTTTACCCGCTCACAAAAGATCCTGACAATATACCAAGCCAAAACGGAGAAAATAAAAGTCCTTCAGGGTACCAACCTTAAATAAGTAACTTTTTAATAGCTAAAAAGAACCACGCTGTTTAACTTCATATAATGTATTTTTTTAAATATGATAAATGGATCCATGTCTCATGTACTGAAGTACTGTAGATCTTTAGCGTTTTCATTACGAAAACTAGAACAAGGTTCTCGTTTAACTAAAGAAAAAGATACATAATGTTTTCTATTTATTGCTATATAATATAATAGTTTCCCTATATCATTCTTAATATACATATCTAACGTTGTTTGTCTCAAACAACTTATGTATTTATTTCTTCACACTGTTTTTACAAAAGTCTAATTATCTCGAAAGTGACATTTTGTGGGTTGGTTCTAGTTTGCATAACTATGTCCAGTTATGTGACGTATAAACTGGATACGAGCTCAAAAAATAGGTAGCGCATATTCCAGAGAATTTTCAGTCTTGGGAATTCCTGTAGCTACTGTATCGTATGTAGTATAAGAATATTATTCTTTACACAATGGACACAAACACATTCATTATCCTTTGCACAACTTCATTACAAAAATGCACTTCCATTCCGTTCCGCGGCAATATTAATGCTCAATGAGCCTAAGGGTTTAATCGACACAACAGTAGTTATTTCAAAAGGTTTTCCTCGACATGGACTGCTTGTTGCAGAACCCCGCTCAAAATAAACTCGCTGGAGACGATAGTGGCGCCACTCTGGCGCAATTGCTGCCACAGCGCGCGGTCTGCGGTGCACGACACGCAGATCCACTTTGGACCCGAAGCCTGCCATTTTCCGCCGGAGCACTCTACTATCACTGGAAACGAAAATTTATCATTATTAGACCGTTTATTGCAGCGGATAGATTAGCCTTGAGAATAGGGCGATTTGAGACAAGTATAGGGTTACCATCCATCCGGATTTGTTTTGACATGTCCAGTTCATGGACCGTTTGCCCAGAGGGTCAATTCAGAACCTCACGATAACTCAGTTGCCGACCGAATTGATTATCAACACAGAAATGACATTACACACTTAAGTAACCTTCTTGACCGGCAAAAACTAGCAACACTTATCAGAACACAGTTATCAAATAAAAGTTTCCGAACGTCCTTTTGTTTTCGGAAAAGGACGTTCGAAAACGTTTATTTTAGGTTAGGACCATTCGATAATAACTTATCGAATGGTCCTAGCCTAAAATAAAAATTAAGTTTATCGATTCTTAAAAAAAGTGTTTTTGAGTGCCTTATCTATTAGTTACAGTCTTGGAAAATAAGCTTGTGCAAGTTAATTGTGCTGTAGAGTGCAGTGATCTTTTTTCCAGAATAAATTCGTGATAAACACGCAAATTACTGCCATGAGTCTATTGCGGCTGCTGCCCCAGACAAGAAAATGTGAGATGATTAGTCGACTTTGATTACTTGAATGACATTATTTTTAAATTAATCAAGCAATTTACCATTATTTACAACCACAATAGTTTTGTTAAAAAAAATAAAGTAAAAAATAACTGTATATAAATAAAAAAGTTCTGGTTAGTACAAAAATTAAAGGTCCGTTATGAATAATGTAGTTTGATAAAGGTTGTAGTTTTCTATTACAACAAAACTAAAGTTTGTTATTAGGTTATTAAGAAAAGGGAAGGTTTTTGGTTTGGTTCCTTTCTGACAGTTGTTAAGTGTGTGTTTACAACGCAAAAAGTACGTGTGAAATCCTATTTTGTTTTAATGAAATCTGGTATTTATGAATATTATTCATTTATTTGAAAGTAAGACTAAGGTGTTAAAAGCTTTTAGGCCTTTATTGTCGCAAAAATGGCCATAAAAAGATTTTTGTTTTTTATCTAGTTTTCCGACTAACTTCGTAAAAAGAACATGGGATCCAATTGATATCCTATTCGAATTCAATTCGAATGTTTATTACGAATGTTTTCAATAGCTCGAAATGGAACCTTTGATTTGAGAACGATGTCCAATCGAACGATTCAATTAAAATACCGAGGAGTTCTAAATCATGCAGCTGATTTGCCATTCTTGCAAATGTCTGACTTTTTGTCCGGACTATTCAAATTTCGGAATGGTAACCTTAGAGTATCAATTCAGATTATTTAAATCAGACATTGAGTAACCTTTAATATTGACAAAAAGTAAAACATCAAATGTCAAAAATGCCGTTCATTCGTATAAACCCAAGAGAAATAAGAAAAAAAATGGTTAAATCTTAATTAATTAATTAATGGTAGAAATCCTTTTATGGGATTGGGTATGTTTAGCTTCTTTGCTTGTAAAGGTATTTTCATAAAATTCGAAGCGTACGATAGCAATAATTAACATTTAACAATATACTTATTATAAGGGCCCTAAGGGCGTATCAAGCTCGCCGCGAGTGATAAGTTACGATAAGATTTTCGGTCTGTCACCAGCTTTATATTTATTTTTTGACGACCGATAGACCTTTACGTTACTAACAAAACAAACTTACGTTTCATCTCAGGCGCACTAGGCAAAACGGAAGGCGTGGAAGACACATGATAGCCTTTAAGGAAATTCCTCTTGCTACCTAAAGTTCGCGATAAGCTGTAGTGGAACCGCTTTTCGCTCGCTTCGTCTTGTATAAGGTATGGCCATGGATCTAAAATAAGAAATTAAGTGTAACATACTTTGTAGTAGCAGCAGTAAATAAATTTGTTCTAAGAAATAATTTAGACAAAAAGTCTTAACAGTTCTATGACCTCATGGTACTAATTTTATCCCAATCACAGATGATAATATGATCAATATACAACCGGAAAACGATCTAATACATGTGAAGCATCCAGGATTTAGCACTATCTATAATAATAATAATAATAATAACCAATGGTCGGAATAGGCTGCTCCAAATGAGTAGATGGACATAATATCTACTACATTTATTTCACTTTGAGCCCCTAAAATTACTTTAAAATCCAACTTCAGCTTCCTAAGAAAGCAGTTTTATCTTACGATGCAGTAAGACTATTTCTGGTAAACCAGATGTTCGGTGGTTTTAACCACTCCATGTCACTCCTTGTATCTATACGTAGACATTTATCTCATTTGAAACACTGTATTCTAATCACTGATAATAACTAATAGATTCATTTCCCAATAGTCATTATACAGTGCATGGGAGTATTAGAAATAGGGCTCAGAATCTCATGACATATAGGTGATGTTGAAAATTGTTATAGTCCAACCATACCAAATCTAGAATATAGAAACGTCGCACTTTATCATTAATAAGTAAATATATGTATACACTTTGTACTTATTCTGTGAGGCATGACTATTTTTTGTCATACCGAACAAACTTACAATATAACCATCTAACACAAGAGTGGTTGTAGCCCACTGGAAGAACAGATGCTTCTGAATTTAGACATAGGAGGTTCGAATCCCTAAGGTGGCATCTAAGCTCTCTCCTCGCTAGCGGTGAAGGAAAGCATCGTTACAAAACCTGCATGTCGAAGAATTATGATCCTTGGAAAACAAGTTCCAAATGTTCCAAATGTTGATGATGAAGAAACGACAACCATTTTCTATCAAGAAGATCGTCCAATATTTTGACGGCTTGATTGCCTAAACAAAATTAATCAAACAATTTGTTACATACCAACAATCATCTTATAGTCATTACAGGCCTGCACCCAATTAGGTCCAACGATAGGTTTCCCTAGTCCAACTGCACAGAGTAACTTGAATGTCCTTTTAATTTGCAGCGTGAGGACCACTGTACACGAAATTACATCCGACACTACAACAGCTCCTAAAAAAAAAGGAGTTATTGTTAAAAATATAGTAAAATCACAAGGTCTTGAGAGGCAGCCTTTGGATACGCAGATATTTTAAGCATGCATAGCTAGATATTTTAAGTTAGTTTGATCATTCAAATTGTTTTGATGTTGTCTGTATTTCTTAACATCTTAAACTTACCTAAAGTTTCCAGTTTAACTTTGACTTCTTCGTAAGGGAACGCCGTGAAGAGCACGTAGTGAGTCCTTACACCTCTAGCCGCTGTCGATCCCACAGACGAACGATTCGAGTTTACCACCAACGACGTGTTCGAACTAACGATAGTAGAAGTGTTAGAAATCATAGCGGATCGAGTTCTTTTCGGACTAGGTCCATCATTATTTTCAGCAGATCTTTTTAGAGGTCGTGGTGATTCTACACCAGATTCTGATGAAATATTGTATACTGTACTTTGATCTTTGGCTGGGTTGCTTTTCTTATATCTATCAATTTGTTTTGTTTCTATGACTTTAACTGTTCTATGTCGTTTACTTCTTCTGATGTCAGTTTGTTTAGAAATGTCAATTTTCCCAGTGGTAGTGTCTAACTCGTCATCTCTATTATCAGTTTTTCTTGGTCTCCCACGTCTTTTTTTAAGTTCCTTTGTAGAGTCATCTTCATTTTTAGAATCTTTGCGTTTGCGTCGAGTACTTCGTGTTTCTGACAATAATGCTGTCTTTTCATTCTTTTCATTGCTTGTGCTACGAACGCGTCTCTCAGTTTTATCAACTTCTTTATGCCGAGACCTTCGTATTGACTCCTTTTCTATCGACACTGATTTACTGTCCATTCTTTCACTCTTTTGCGTGTGTTTTATACGACGTGTACTTCTGCTGCTACTTTTACTTTTTTCCTCAGTAGGATTTATACTATCATTATTCTCTTTGTTAAATGTGTAGGAATTGTTTTTGTCCGTAATTTTTACAGTTTTATTTTTTACTTTTGGTCTGTTTGCTAATTTTTCATTTTCTTGTTTGTCACAAATATCTTTAGCTTTATCGGTTTTTTTATTTGCTGCGACATTTTTTCTAGCTTTACTTTCTTTCTTAACCTCTGCAGATTTAGTTAGGTTTATTGTACTATCTTTATTATTTTTCTTTTCCGTTTTAGTTTTGGGTTGACATAAGTTTTCACATATTATTTCGTTATCCACGTCATCAAAATCAGGTAAAAATTTCAGATTCAGAATGTTTTTACTTTGCTTTTTGGTCTCTTCAACACTGTCTTGTATTTTCGAGGTTGGTTTGCGAACTCTTGTTATCACTCTTGTGGGTAAAGCCTGTCTTTCAAATTTTTTCCTCAGATCGATTTTAGCTTGTTTAACATGTTTTTTTTTGCGAAACAAAAGAGGCGTAGAATTTCTTTCTGGTTCAGAATCACTTGAAGATTCACGTACAAGTGTTTTAGAAGTCATGGAAATACTGGTTTTTATTTCCTGGCTGCTTGGCAGCTCGGTTTCAATAAACTTGAAAGGCCGTACTTTTTTTGGTGTAACCTCGACGTCAGAAAGATCACTGGGGACTCTTTTAACGCTTGTGACGTCCTTATCAACACCAATTACCTCCCTGATCATTTTAGAAGATAAACTTGAAACAAACTTGTTAATCCTTTCATCTCCGTCGCTATTATCTGACGACTTATCAGCTGCAATGTATTTCTTTCCCGAAGATATTTCGTTTTCCTTATGTTGGAGCTCACCATCTACATTTATAATTTCAATTTGCTTTTCTTTTAAAAGACTATTGTTTACCATCTTTGTTGTCTGTGGTCTCACGAATTCCGGAGACGACTCTCTTTGAGAATACAAATCGTCGTATAATTCCTGAGTTGCGGCGTAATATTTTTCATCATTCTCTAAATTAACTATTTTAATTGGTGAATTCGGTAATGAAATACTAGGATTCATAAATTTATTTCCACCTGATTTGAATGTGTCTTTCATTTTTGTTTTAAGAGGTGTGGCATAGGGAACTTTAAAAGTACATATGATTTCTTCAGAATATTGCATGTTCGCAGTGTTACTGCATTCTGATTTTTCAGATGGGATTTCGTCAATTACTTGAGTAGCTAAGTCTGCAAAATCTGTTTCTTTGTTCTCTGGGAATAGTACTTGCGTCGCCATATCTTCGAATGATGTTTCTTTAGGAATCCTATCAAGGACTTTATGTTCATTATCATTTTTCATTTCCACATCGTCCCCAATGACTTGCGTTGCCATATCTTCAATGTTCTGTACAAGGTTTGTGTGTGCTATCGTTTCATCAGAACTTTTAACAACAGATTTAGGTGTTGTATCATTATTAAGTTCATTATAGCCCTCAAGAACTTGTGTAGGCAAGTCTTCAAAATTAAGTATAGAACTTTTATGCGGCACGTTATCAACATCGCATTGTGTGGTTATGTCTTCAAAATTAGCAGTCTTGTTCTCACAAGTCTTCAATATATTAGGTTCAATATCGATGTCATCTTCACAATCAGTGAGATCATCGTCTATTGGTCTTGCAAGAATTTTTTGTGTCTGCAAAACGTCCAAGTCATCGCAATCTGTCGAATCAGATTCAATCCTGTTAGCTCTCTTTAAAGCTATAGAATTTGGTTTTATGACATCATATTCATCTTCCTGACTGGCCTGCGATAAAGGAATTATGTTGTTTTCATCTTCCGGCGAGACTTCTTGTCGCAACAACGGCTGAGAATCAAATCCTTCCAAGAAAGATTGACTGTCAACTTCATCGAACAGTATTTGGTCATCTGATCTATCACCTTTTCCAAAATTAACTTTAGTTTTTGATCGTGATTCGGCGGGCATACTTTGTTTTGCTGTGGTTGGTACTTGCGTATCATTCTCAAAAATAGGTAACTGTGTAGGGGCAGTGAAAATGGAGTCCTTTTCCGAATCAGGTAGCTGCGTTGCAGCAGTAAAAACGTCAATGTCATTTTGTTTAAGTTCGTTTGACTGACTACTATCTTCTACATTAAGAAGCTGAGTTTCAGCGTCTTCACTATCGGTAATATTGGTTTTGTTAAACATGTTTCCATTTTCATTTTCTGCTGGAATCTGTGTCTCTGCATTATACAAACTATTATCATTTTCTTTATTAGCTCCAAGGACGTCAAGTTCCATATTATGCTCTTCGCTTATTTTGTCCGCGTTAAGCAAATAATCGGGCTCCGGAAGTTGAGTGTCTTTACTATGAAAAGAAGGAGTACTGTCTTTCACAGGTAACTGTGTAGCAGCACAGTATATTGAATCTGTACTTTCATTGTCAGTCGGATATGGAACTTGCGTATCCATTTCATGCAAGTTATTATTTACTGGAGTACTACTGCCAGCCACAGGAGAAATCACATTGATGGGGGATTTAGCCAAATTTAACGAGTTTGACTTCTCTGCTGATTTCCAATAAGCATTATCAATTTTGTATGTGCCTGTAGGTTGAATTGAAAAGGCTTTACCAGATACTTTAATGAATTTATTGCTTGGACTTTTGAACTGTTGATATTGCTTTGGTTGAGATGGAACAATGAAAGATTCATCCTAAAACAAAATAAAAAATATATAGTACAGTGTTTATCGAAAGGCACTTAACAAGATATATGCAAATAAATAATTTCTGTTTAAAAAATGCACCATCTACCTATTTTCTAAAATACTTTGATACACTAAGGCAACCCTCCAGGAAAATAATACTGCTTCATTTAAAACGCAACAAAACTTACTGTCTCTATATACGACAGAACAAACCGAAATAAATGACTCACCCGATCACTGACATCAGGTGATTCAGGTACTGTAGTAATTCCAGCTTTATTAAGCCTGGAGATGCCACGAGTGCAGACAGGAGTGTCGGGAATATCAATTGCCTGTGTCATAGGCAGATCACTTTCGTCTTCAAGCAGTTGAAAAATGCCGAATATCTCTCCAAACTGTACCGTATCGCCGTTGGAAAGTGGTGTAGGGATGTATGGTGGAAGAACTTTCTGTAATTTATTAAAGGGTAAAACTTTTGTGTTGTAAAAATGAAGACAGTATATAATACATTAAACGGTACTGGAGTACTTATACCACAAATGCATTAAATAATAGACAATTATATATGGCATAAACCTTTCAGTATGCTTTTAAACACTTCTTGTACTCCTTTAATTCAGACAATTATGTTCAATGATGTTCAAGAAGAAATCCAATCTGATCTATTAAATATATAAAACTAATGTGTTTACGATATTTTATTTTGGTTCATTTCGTTTCGCCACTAACTTAAAATGTTAATGCTAAAGAAACTAACCAATCAGGCAACCAGTCGACTATCTATGATTGGGGAATTAAAAAGAAAAATAAAAAATAATAAAAAATAAATAAAATCGCGCATTTTCGACAAGTAAAAGAAAAACGCAATACATAGCTGCTGCTACTACATAAGTATAATATCTCAAGTCATGTTGCATTTTTTAAATATCTACTCAATAATACACAACAAAATCAACTTACATTATTTAACTTTGTTTTATTAGCAGAGCCCAAATCCATGAGCATAAATTGTTTTCCATTCAGTACATTTATTACTGCATGTTGTCTTGATATTGACTGAAATTACAAAATACATGCATCTTATACATAGGTTTTGTTATTATTCTTAGGGCAATTTTACAGAGCCTCGCGGATTTACGCGATAACATTGTGACCCACGCCTGTTCATTTCAACTTAATGTAACATTAATCCACAAGGATTAGTTTAGCTAAGTTACATGTAGATACCCAATGAAGAGCTCAGAGTAGATGAAGACTTCCTCTGCTTCAATTTTCGCAAGCTCACTGTACCCACAGTCCCCTCAGTCCCTGAACCACTTGGCCTAGCACCTAGCACAAAACCACATTATTCCTCACCATGAAAATGTTGACGGACGAGTGCATGATGGGCTACCCGACATTGGGAGTTCATGTTGGTGTCATGAATAATTTCTGAGCCTTTGTTCAGAATTTTTAGACAAGCAAGTATATATACTGTGAAGGTGGATGCATGAATGATACAAAATTATTCTCTGTGCTATCTATCTGAATACTGGATGATGGTCTGTGTACTGCCCAGGAGTTATACTAGCAGTTCCATTGAAAGTAGATCAGCTAATGATATAACGCAACTGCCTGTACTGGTCAGTTTCAATGCTTCAGGAAGCCTCCTGCAACAACCTACTACGCATGTAACCAATTGTATGATAACTGATTGACAATTGGTTTGACGCTGCTGCATTCTTTTGTAATTGCCGACGCAAAGATTTGAAGCAGTTGCTACATATGTGCACTATTTTACCAGAAGAGCACAAAATATATGTAAATGAATAATGGACATTTGCTTAGATTTAAAGTTAATTAAATCTTAAATTCCTAATTAAATCTAAACCTAATCTTAAAAACCCAATTAGTCCTCAGAATGTTATGTATCACAGATAATCTAAATTTGATACAGTATTTAATCCACTTATTATGATACACTTTTTGTTATAAAAAAATTTTGTGAAAAAAACATAAAAGAAACAAAAACAAAATAAGAACAGAACAGGTCCAAAAATTAAGTTGACGTAGTGTTCATCAGAGAAATGGAGCCAAGTAATTAATAGATTCAGGTGTGGTAGGACTGTACAAAACCAACACTCGAATTTAATGGTGGGAGCAGGGGGGGGAGGCCTTATTTGACCTATGTAAAATACATTTCTTTTCTTGGTGTCAAATGTACAATTAGTCATTGATTTAAGCATTTTAAGTACCCAAATATTACGACAAGTTTAAAATTTTGCTGTACAACCAAATGCCGTGCGTTCCTAACCTACAAAACCTTTTCCTATCATTTTATAATATTTTATAAATTTTTTTATTATCAAATCTACGAGTTTAGGTAAGTTAATATTTTAGAATTAGGCTACTATACTTCGTTTCAATCCATTTTGAACAAAATGTAAACAAACAAGTCACTGACCCGACTAGTAATGACCAATTGTAATGCCAACTACAAATCAATTAATTAATTGAATGAATCGATTTGTTCAATTGAGTCATATTAGCGGTTTTCCGTACATAACCTATACAAGCATATATAAAATTTCCGAAATCTTAATTTTAAATCCTCCTTCAACTCATTACACTGAGTGTCGTATTCTACAACTCTACTCAATGCTCAAGTCAGGTTTTGGCAGGCTTGAGTATGATTTCAAGCACTGGACATACAACCCTAATGGCAAGGACTTGAGTATGATTTTCAGTGCTCACTGCAATACTCAAGTCCTGACTTGAGTATTGAGTAGAGTTCTGGAATACGACCCTTAGTCCTTTTTTTTATTGCGATTGAAATATTCGATTTACTAATCGATTACAAAAACTTTAATTGAATGAACCGAATGTTTTTTTTTCATCAGCACTATGCAACCATAGACAAGTCATAGATGTATAGATGAAAAATAGCCTCGGGTCGTTTTCAGATAACCTCCAAAAACGTGTCCCTTTCAATAACTGTTATGTTATTACATGAATGCTAAGCATTATTTATTTAATATGATTGCTTGCTTACTTAGTCTGTGTTACGCATAAAAAGACTACTTTACTACGTCACAGTAATAAATAAAAATTAAAAAGGGGTCAATTTCTCATTCATGGAAGCCGGTTCCACGTCGCCCTAATTTTAAGAAAAGAAGAAAAAATTAAACACTCGTGGAAATCGCAACATTTCCCATCGAGGATAAACTCTAATAACTTTCACGTCGAACTCATACCGTAACTTTCCAATTTATTATAAACAAACATGTTTTCTTGGGAATAGTAATAGTTTTATAAACTTTCTTGTACGTCAATCAGACAAAGGGAACTTTAAAATCCATGTACTTTTATAACGGTCCAGCATATTTTACACACTTGGCAATTAAAAATGTATCTAAATATCATTATTGTCGCTCTCATTCTTGTGTCCTTTTAAGTCAAATAGTTACTTTAAGCCAAATATTTACTTGAAATATAACAATTAGATGGTGATAGTGGTGGTGATGATGGTGGTGACGATGATGATGGTGGTGTTGATGACGATGATAATTGTAGTGATGGTGACGATGATTGTGATGATGATGTGACTGGTGATCATGTTGATGGTGGTGATGATGATATATTGATGTACAACAATGACGTTAACAAAATACTTATTTAGATATATTTATTAATTACATATAGATAGATAGATGGTCTTTCATGGATGAGAAGGATTTTGATACAAGAAGTTATATTAAAATATTTGTTACATGTTAAATGATGTTAAATGTTCTTTCGTGAACGATACAATGTGTGTTGAAATAATAATTTCTCATTCCTGTGCCGTCTTTATCATTTATGCTTATGAGAAAATCATTCATAATACTGCAATCTCATTTGTGTGACCTAAAATATTGTTTTTTGTTGTATTTAACTTAAATATTTCTGTGATTTAATAATTATTGACATTCTTGAACTTATTTGAACGTTTAAAACCTTAAAACCAAAAGAAATAAGGGTTTTACAAAAATCGCTCAAAAAGTGCCATTGAAATTCGGAAAGTGAAATTCACCGCCTCACTTTTGTAATACAATTTACGATGCTCTTCAAATAAATATTGTTGGAAAAAGTGATGAGATATCAAGTCGAAATATACGTGAAAGTGTTACATATTTGATTTATTCAGTGATTGCTTTAGAAATTTAACCAAACAGTTTTGTTTACTTTTTGTTCAAAACGGATTTGAACAGACTTTACCACCGCGACAACCAAATACCTGCATTCCTAACTTACGAAACCTGTTCCCTGTTATTCATTTTTGAATATTTCAATAAATTTTATTAACAAAACTACGAGTTTCCGTAAGTTAATATTTTAGGATTAGACTACTAACTATGTAATCTATTCAACATATTAATTTCAACCCTCGAGTGTTGGTATTGTACAGTTGAGCTCCATTGTTATGGTGCTAATACGTCTGGCTGTGTACTATGAGGACCAAACCAAAGCCAGAGCCAGATGGGCTAATAAAAAGAGACATGATATCCACTCTAGATCAAATATAATACTAATACTAATAATATAATTAAGTGCTATTAGAATACTCACATTGCGGTTTAAAATAATGCCACAAGTTTGTGGATCCCTGCCAATCTTGTTTGGACCTCTCAACACTGGAAACTTCTCGCCACAAATGCCTAAAAAGCCAATCTGAAAACAAATATTATATGTCAATTTAACACTGCATTAGGATATTTTTATACTAAGAAATATTAATCCCTATGTAAATAATACTCAAAAGAAATATCTGTCAGCCTTTTAGCTGTCAGTCGCGAGGGTCAAATCTTACCTTAGTTGGGTTCTGTAAGTTAGTTTTTAATTAGGTAAAATGGTAACAGTAAATATAGCGTCTAACCTGTTCGGGGTGTACCGATTGTGATGAATACAACTCCTGCGTACATTCTAGCCTTTGTGTACACTCCATTTCGTGGTTGTTACATACGCACAAAGTAATTAAATCATTTTATAATAGGTTCGATTATTTACAAAATAATAAAAAGAGTGAAGACTGACGACAATGCGCAAGAGAAAATCGCAATTCCGTGTTTCAATTCTATTTCGTGTTTACTACCCCGAATAAACACAAATTAGAACTTCAACTTCAACTTTTGTCTATGGCTCCATCGTTTTGCGCGCACAAATTAGAAAGATATGAATGAAATCGCGCGATTGTCACTCACTATTTATGCTTGTAAATAAATCAATTTTTTTTTAAATTTATTAAGGCTTTGGCAAAGCCATCACTCTAAACATGAAGTTTAATTATGTTTCTGTAAATATGGCCGCCACAAAGAGAATAGGCAATTTGAGGCGGCGTGCTTGGATGGACTCGGGATTCATTAAAACGGGCCAATACGGGTATTTTAGTTCAAGATTCGCGTTTTAATCTTCGATTAAGGCACAATAGCACTATCCTATTCCACTTTAAACTAAATTTTACAAAATAATTGAAAGTCAAAATAAAAACGACACTTTTCCCTCCAAAAGGTCCAGAGCGAATGTGTAAATAAATCATAACATGAACCATAGATCATACAGTTATATATTTGACTGCGTAGCTTAGAGGATGGAAAAGCTGCGTAGGATAGGATACGCACGGAAGAATCCTACGTATGGCACACGTACATACACGTACATGTATGTAGTCTAGCAGAACGCATTGCAGGATTGCAAGGTGGCTTGCACGCTGCGACTACATTCATAATCCTTGCATTACGCGGCGAACGGCAAGGCGGACTGCAATGCAGGGTAATGAATGCCTTCTCCTAAAATGTGTTGTTGAAGCTTTAAGCTGATAGCCTCGTAGCAATTTTTATCGTTACGACAAAATATCGTCACAGTGGGAACAGCTAGAACGACAGTCGTCTGACGATAAAAAAAGTCACGATAAAAATGTGACGACAGATTCCCGCAGCTCCTATTGTCGTCACAATCTAGTGGGAACAGCTAGTCACGACAGTCGTTCAACGATAAAAAATCGCCCACGACAGATAGTCGTGATATGGGAACAGGCTAGACACGAAAGTCGTCCAACGATAATAAAACGTGACGACATAGTGGGAACGCGCCCTTAGTCCAACGCGCAAACCAATCTATGACCAACGGATTGGTAATTTCACGCAGTGTTGCCAGATATTACATTTCTTACATTTTCGTAACTTTTGAACCTCTCGCCATCCTCTCGCGTATTATGTAACTTTTATGTTTATGTCAATTTTCAAAGGTAACTCTTGAGAGAACGATGATTTTTTTAATTCAACCATATGTATTATTGTAAATGTTAATCCCTACGAACGCACTCAAATTAGACGCTAAAAGGGGGCATTCATTATCCTGCAATGCAGTCTGCCTTTCTGTCTGCCGCGCTATGCAGGATTATGAATGTATTCGCAGCGTGAAAGCTATCCTGCAGTCCCGTAAATCATGCAATGCGTCCTCCGAAACTTCATACGTGCGCCATACGCAGGATATTGTGTGAGTAGTCTCCTGCCTGCGCGATGGACTGATAATACAGATAATGAATTGGCCGTTTAACGTAAATCAGAGATGGCGCTAACAAATATATCTACCAATTTGTTATTTATTTTAAAGCTTGATTTTTTTGTAGCGTATATACTTTTTTAATTTAAGCTTAAATATGTGCATTTATATATATCGTTTACACTTAAAAAAAATTAACCTTTGCTGCAAAATTTTATTGTAAATTTTCAGAACAAAACATTAATTTTCAACTTTAGGGCCCTGGCAATACTGACTTCACGTTTTGATTTGTTTGATGCTTGGTCAACGATTTTGGGATTATATTGGATTACCTCCAAATTCACAAAATAATTATACATTTTTGTGGTGCCGTAAGCTACTTTAAGTTTATATACAAGATAACGAAAATTTATTTTTGTAGCTAGTGTTTTACGTCTTATCATGGAGGGCAAAGGGGAACATTCGGACGCCGAAGATGTTCCCAGTGATTTTTTTGACGATTTCAGTAAAGAAGAGTTCATGGAAGGTCTCAGTGTTATCGATAGTTGGGACGACTCGGACGGTTACAAGAAGCGAGAACCCAGGATCAACGCAGAGGCTGTGGAAAGTGTGAAAGATCTACGGGAGTTAATAAGGGATGGAAGAGAAGAAAGCAAGAACGAAAAAGAGTATAAAGACAGGAGCAGGCGCGACGATGGCAGCCGTCGGCAGTCTGGCGATAAACTCAACGACTTCATCAGGCCGGGCAGCCGTCGTGATCTCAGCAAAACCAATGAAGCCATCAAACGTGATAAAGAAGTAAAAGTAAAGGAGTATCTTGCCAAACATTTGGATTCAAGTGAAGATCTAAGGCCACCAGGGACAGAGCTTGACGACTACTTTGATGAAACAAAACCACTTGAACACAAAAAACGCGAGATTATAATTGAAGAAGAAATGGAGCCACCTGCAAGAGAGGTCCACTGGTCAGAGGGACGAGACAAGGAGCGTCATTCGCCAAGCAGGAACAAGACAAGAAGCCTTCGACGGAGTCCACGACGCAGCCCACGTCGAAGCCCACGCCGTAGCCCCCGCCGTAGTCCACGCCGTAGCCCCCGCCGTAGTCCCCGACGCAGCAGCCCGCGACGTCGCAGTCCTCGAAGAAGTAATATAAGCCCTCGTCGTTTTGGCTGGCACAACCAACACCAAAACCAGTTTAATCGATATCAGCCAAGAGCAATTAGTCCTATAAGAAAATTTTGCAATAGACAGATTTCTCCACCTCACAAAAGCCATCGAAGCCCAAGAAGGTATAGTCCAAAACATAGTCCACGATGGGAGCGACGATCCAGGTCACCCCAACACCAACATATACGGCAAAGACATTCTCGGTCTAGGTCACACGAAGCTAAGGATAGCTTTCTATATCCAATGGAATCTGTGGCAACCAATTATCAATATTCAACAGAAATGTTTCAAAGAGCACCTGACCCATACTCTGGCTCTTTATCTAATGAATACCCTGATAATATTCCAGGATATTCATATCCACAAGATCCCTCTCACTCTGGTGGTGCATTGGTTGCTTATGGAACACCTTATGATTATGGTGTTCAACCAGTTCCTCCAGGTATAGCACCAGTTCCGCAACCAGTACCTGCACCTGTCTTGGATCCAGCTGTAATGAATCCTGTCCCTCCTGTCACAATGCCTCCTGTAACAATACCTGCAGATCCCATTAATACCAACATTCCTATACCCCAAGCGCCATCACAGTTGGTGTCTCTTTCTGTATCACTCATGAACACTAAGAAGACTGATGAACCACACCATGATGCTTTGGCACAAGTTAGTATTTTACTTTTCATTCCATGATTATTATTTATTTTTAAGACATTCTAATGATTTATATTATTAAATTTTCAGTTAGTGGCAGAAGGGAAAATTTCTCAAGAGGATTACTTGAAGCTTGCACCAAATAAAGGTGAAGCATTCTTTTTTGTTCAAGCTTAACATGTTTCCTTTGCATGCATCATATGTGGTGCATTACGAGGTCCGAACAATTCATGAGTGCATTACATATGAGGCACGGCCCTTTATAAATTTAAGCGTTAAACAAAATCTGTATGTGCAAGCTTTATTTACTTGCACGTTTGGACCGCAAAAATTGTGACAATTAACATGTGGTACTGGATGACTTTTTAATCAATATTGCCAGATTATCACACTGTCAAAATAAAACAAAAATAGTAATTTTTTTATTACAAGTTACAAAACTCTATTATTGACTTGCATATGTATTGCACATGATAATAAAAACTAAAAGATGATCAAATAAACAATGTCAAAAACCCAACAATAAAATATTAAAAAGCTAGGTAAGCACAACTAAAATAATTACAAGTATCACATCTGTAACACTGCATGTAACACACACTTGACAAAATTTAGAAAATGGGAAAGGAGTTCATCATGGGAATGATTGTTCCATCCTATAAATGTATCCATATATACCAATTCCAAAGTATTTGCAACATAAAAAAATTGCATCTGAGGGGTCAATTTCTGATTTCCAGTGACAAAGGGAAACTGTTAAGTTTTATTTCGACCTAAATAACATGGGATATAATATATACAAAAACCTATTAGTTATTAACAAACCTATTTTCACACTTTGAATTGCAGGCAAATCAGCCAGATTGCATGGTATGTTGTGTAAATGCTGTATATTTTATTCATACTTCTGTTGACGTTGCATTTTGTTCTAGGTGCAAGTTCTGCAGCCGAGACAAAGTTGCGTGTCGACGGTGGGTAGTAGCAGTTTTTTAATTCATTTCGTCTATAATTGATAAAAATGCTGTACCTATATTTATGGTCTACAATATACTTAATCATGAGGAAAAATGTATATAGTGTTAAAGCACTGTATAAAACTACGTAATATTTTATAAAACTGATATATCTACTTTATAATAATGTTTTGGGTAATTATAAACATTCCAAAAATTTTGCTTTTGCAGTAATAAATCGCTGCATATCAGCTTTAACGAAGTTAGGCAATATGCGCGTGCCTAGTCGCCTGTTGATGAACACTTCAATGATCGGTCCGGAAATTAAAGCTTTACCACCCACATACTGTTCACCATTGAAGAGGAAGCTACCTGTAGAGTTTAACTATACTAATCCCAGCAGCACCGCCACGTCTCAGCATAACAAGCAGCTCATCGACTGTATCATCAGCACGATGGGTCTGGACAACATTGTGACAAGACCGAAGAGGAAAATCCCGAAGAACATGAAAGAAGTAGCCTGCCAAACTACCAAGTCTTACTGCGACGTATGCGAAATTCGCGATGCAACAAGACATCACGAGGCCTTTACGTCAACCGAACCGGAATACTTCACGTCTACAGTGCATACTCAAGTTGTGGAACACGATCTGGCGAATTCGAAGGCAGTATTCAACCCGAGCGGCAGTATCTCCGACGGTGCGCCGATATCCATAGCGCATCTCACTCCGGCACAGTTGGTGTCGCAACTGGCGGCTCGTGCGAAGACATTGAAGCAGTCGGACCCTCCATCATCATCTACTGATTATATGCGACGTCCTAATAATTACGACTACGATGGCAGAAGCGGCGGAGGTCAGCAATATCAGAACTATAATTATCGATATTAATTTATATACAATTTACTAAAGATATTTTTGTAAGTTGTAACGAATTGTATACAACACGTGACGTATTTGAATAATGTGTTTATCTAGTACATAATTAACATAAGTTCGTTTGTATAATTTTTCTCGTATTTTATCACACATCGAAATCGCAAGATTTTGATGTGGGGGTTTCACAAATAGTTATTGTAATAAAGGTAATAATGAAACCATTGGTTTAATTTGAACGAGAAGAATGAAGACGTGAAGAACTTTTCCGGACGTATGACGCCCGTCATCCAGCAAGGACTGAAGTGGTTGCGGAAATGAAGCGGAATTCACACATTTGCTTTTTCCTCCTAATTAAGGTATTATATGTTATGTGTATAGTCTGGTCAATGTAAATATAGGTTAGATGGTACTAGTTGTGTTTCTATTTTTGTTCGTAAATAGTTAAATACGTACTTAGGTACCTAACCTCTAGGCAAACTTAGCTATCGTTGAGCAGTAACATTTTTCTACCCAAAACTCTCCTTTGTATTACACAGTTAAGAAGTCGCATATTTGGTAAACAGCAGGTTATACCAGACGAGAAAATAAAAAAGTATTCATTGTACACAATTTAAGTTATATTACAGTATAAGTATCAGATTTCAAGAATTACGTTTACCAAAGACTAGAAAGTAACAAAAAAAGTATTCATTGTCCACAATTCATGTTAAATTACAGCATTTATATATTGTATGCAAGTATCGGATTTCAAAAATTATGTTTTGTACCTACTTCTAAAGATCATACCTAAAGGACGCTCAAGTGAATTCGAAGAATTATGAAGATTATTACAGAGAAGCATCCAATCGGCCTCAATCGCTACAGGATGGAACCCAAAAACATTCTTCGGAAAACAACGCTTGCTTTTTTTAACTCTTCCTGTGCGTAGAAAAAAAATGTAATGTAAATACTATTTTCACACAATAAAGTCTGAAATGTCACAAATTCGTAGTTTAATTAAATAAAATCGGGTAACTACAGTCAACAATCACGACCCTTCGGTTTTTCGGTCGAAAAGTATTACCGACAGCATTTTTTAGGGTGCGTACAAATCTGGCGAATACGCCTGTTGCGTAAGACTCGCGAACTACACTTGTGCAATTAGTGCCGTCTGTTCGAGTGCAGCTCGCGCGCATTACGAGCTATCATTACAGAGGCACATTTAGTTGACTGTTTGCACTGCCTGTTTACACAAAACGATGCGCAAATTGCGGGCCAGCACCAATATCGTCCTGTTTATAATAGCAGGCAGGTTAGATTGCCCCTATACAAGGCATTGTTTATATTATATATATATATATATATATATATATATATATATACTATATATTGCTTGTGTATTAAGTATGCCCGCTATGGTGCCGGTTATGGAGGCAATCGATTTAGACATCAATAAACTAGTTATTTTATATTATTACAATTTTGGCTTTTATCTACTTTTATTTCATTTTCTTTTATTTTATTTTTACAACTTCTTAATTCTGATTATATTATTTTGACCTTAACTGTAGGTTAATTTCAATTTTCAAATATAATTTATTTTAATATGGGTCATTGTCACCCGAAATAAATGATTTTTATTTATTAATTGCACGCGTGTAGCGCATGCACAACCCACATGCAGCGCATTCGTCAGATTTGTAAGCACCCTTATAATTGATTAGGTTGAAAATAAATACATCACTTCTAAGCTGCATAGTGCTTTGCTTTCCGATTTCCTACTCTCAGTTTTCTATGGTGCATTGCTACCTACATTTTGTAACAGGCACAAAATTCTTTGTTCAGAATGGCTTGTATATTTGAAATCCGATCCATAAATTATAAAATTTTAAACAAAATTACAAACATGTGTTGACGATTTAACCCTCCAAAAAGTCGTCAAGCCATTTTTCTAATTGTTCGGGAGATTCAATAACACAACTACCCTCTGGTCCAATTGTTTCTTGTGGTTGTCTTGCAGGATTTTTCGTGACACTTTCAGCAACTGGAAATGAAGGTAATTAAATAATGAATTATAAATCAGTAGGAAGATTCTTGATATGTAATAAATATTTGCAAATTTCCATAAAAACTAGACAATGTTAATACTAATGTAGGATCCTCCAAAGAAGTAATCTATATTTGACAATAAGATAATAATTATAGACAGAAGACAGGTGAGTATTCATCTATATATTATAAGAAATTCACAAAAAGCCATCACTTTGTTATGAAAAATTGGTTTAGAGACAGCAAAAGCACAAAGTAGGTTATAAACTTACTCTATTTGTCTAATACTTATTTTTTCTTAATTAACCCTTACCTTGTAATAAATGCTTTTCCACATGTACAGTATTTTGAACTTCTACTTTCATTGATATATCTACTTTACCATCTACATCTCCTAGAATAAGGTCATCTAAGTCATCATCACTATATGCCTTGTTGTCATAATTTCCATGTTGTGTTTTATGAATTATTTTATGGTCTTTTTCTTCAGGTGTACTTGGTTCATCAGCTGCAAGTCTACCCACAAAATCTACTTCAAAGGCATGTCCAGTACCTTCTGCTTCAGACACACTCCTACAATCTTCAAACACTTGAGATTCAGAAATAGATCCTGTCACTTTTGATTCTCTTTCAATCTCCTCTCCACACTTGCCAACACTCTCCTGCATGAAACTCAAAATTTTTTCTTGAGCATCTAATTCTGGAGTTGTATAGGATTTGTCATTGAAATATTTCTGTTTATACCTAATTGATCTATTGTTCATAGTATGTAAGTCTGTTTGACTAAAAACTGAATGTTCTATACTATTTCGTTCATAGAAAGGGACTGTAGAGAGTGCTGTAGCCAAATTGTCCATGTGAATTTCAAAGTATTTGTCATATAATGATGGTCCAGTCATAATATCCCATGATTTTTCATGTTTGAATTGGAAGTGACCTCCAATAGACGATGGTGCTTGAATGAGTTTCTGAAATATTCAAAAGTAAGTTCTATATTAAAGATATAATCCTATACTTGGTTTTTTATTCAGTCCAAGTCCTATAACATTTAATAAGAATATTTTAAAAATAGTTTTGATTTTTGGTTGTAAGGAAGATTGGCTCAAAATGTTTCTATGTTTATTCAACAAAGTTTCTAAGTAATAAATCCAACAGAATATTCAATGACTGATATACTGCAAAGGTCAACCCGCCAAGTACAGAAATTAAACTGTTTTCAGAGAGCTACTTTGACAAACAAGTCTTCATAACGAAGATGTGGCTATGTTTTATGCACCTCATAGTCTGCCCCCAAATTTTCCTCCTCTTCCACCTCATCATAGCTCTTGATAGGTATCTCATATTTGCTCCAATTACTTTGTATTTCCTTGTTTTTGTATTTAGAATTTGCTTCTTCTGTTATCTTAAGGATTTCATCTGATTCTCTTTTCAAGTTCTTGTAGAATTCTGGACCAGGGTCTTCATAGACTGGTGGTTTTCCTGGAACTGAGTGGAACACAGATGATATTTATTGAAACATTAAAACATACGTATAAAATACCTTAATGTAAATTAATCATGAAAGTTAATTGTACACATTGAAAATAAAATGCACTGGTACATGACATCCATTAATCACATATTTAGTTGACAGTCCAGGTTAAAGTATGATATATCACACATTTAATGTTTATCTATATAGATGTATGAAATATGCTGATCAAATGAACCTAAATGTGCAACAAGCATATGTGAGTTATAGAACACATTGAACTTGTTATGGGTGAAGTAACCTCCAAAACTAATATCCGCGATGGAAACACACAGCATAGCAAACGAAAGAGTTTTATACCTTTAGGCACATCAGCTTTACGCTCATACTGTGGTTTCTCGATCTTAGATTCTCCCTTCTCAACGGGCGCTTGTTGTCGCGCTTGTCGAGGTTTCCGTTGGTCTTTAGGTCCATGTTTACATTTTTGCCTGAAATGAGGCACGTTGCGATTGTTAACTACAAATTTGCTAGCGAATAGTTAAATACTAACGTCTTAGACACGTACTGGTTTTTCTTTGAATCTTCAGGCATAGTTTTAGTACGAATAATATAATTAAATTCTATTAATAGGGATCAAAATTTTAAACAGCTGCCTAGCTGGTTGGGTTGTCAAATTCTTTCTTTTTTTTGGTAGTTTTTTTTTCCATTCTAAAAGGCAAAGGCACTAATGCGCCATACAGCCAAGACAATAATTTCTTTATTTTTTAATTTCTTTCTTAATACGCCCCGTATTGCAGAACTCTACTCAATGCTCAAGTCAGGACTTGAGTATGATTTCAAGCACTGGAAATACGACCCTAATGGCAAGGACTTGAGTATGATTCTCAGTGCTCACTGCAATACTCAAGTCAGGATTGCACTGGAAATACAACCCTAATGGCAGGGAATCGAGTATGATTTCGAGTGCTTTAAACCATACTCAAATCCTGACTTGAGCATTGAGTACAGTTCTAAAATACGACCCTAATTAGATTCCACTACAAAATATTTAAAAAAAAATAAATTTTCACACACTTATTTGGGTAGGCAAAGGTTTCACCATTTCACCAGGCCTTTTGGCGCGCTTCAATTTGCCTCACTTAGCGTGTGCGGACTAGGTTTCTATACGTTATTATTCTAAGGTTGATGTGCTGTGTAGTAAATTCGGCCGCGCATGTTCTGTTCTGCAGCGCCTATCGTGGACTCTGCCATGGGACATGGTTAGGTCATGTCACTTCGCCACCGTGCACTCGCTCTTACAATATGACGTCGAGTTTTGGGGATGTGCGGCTGACTGGCAGCGTGCGTTCAAAATGCAGAAGCGGGGTGGTGCCACAGCATACGACAGCTAAGCCTTACTTCGAGCAGTAGGTACGGCATGCTCACTTTGCCTGCTGTCGTGCCTTTCCAAGCGGCTGTCTAGGGAACACATGGAAACTTACACTAAACGAGGTGAAGGACATAACTATGAGCTACGCTACGTAATAAATACAGGGTTGCATCCGTACAGCATATTTTGTCGAAAACGGGCGAATTAATACATGTATTGGGCCAGACAGTATATAACCGGCTGCCTCTGAAATTGTTAATTCCGCTTTGGACAATTTATTTAGATGTAGATTAAACCATTGGCTCGTCAAGCAATCAATATATAACTTATCAATCACATTGCTTAAATAATAGTAATATAACCCTTACAGCATAGAATTATACGGTTTGCGTTCAACTTTGAAAAAATTTAGGTATAAAAGTATTCAAGTTTACCGCGTCGTCGGATCAACACCGATCGTTAGTGCGTTCGATTAATATTTGCTGTTAAAGCAGTGCGGCCGTGTTCTAGGGTTACACCTGAGCCAAGAGCGACAAATGTGAACGTGTACGTGACGGACGGGAGGTCGAAAAGCAAGATTTTTTAAAAATATCATCATTTCGTGTTTTCTGACCTATTGGTGTATATTCTTATTAAGTATATGTTATATTTTACATAAAAAATAATTAAATAGTGAATTTTTAGAAATTTTGGTTTTTATTCAGTCATAAAGTCATAAAACACAATCGTGCTTGTCAGTCAAAAAAAAAAAAGGATGGAAATGACTAGATTATTTTTATTTTTACTTAATTTTTTTTTGTTTTTCGGGACATTAACATACATGCGATTTAGTTGCACAAATCACCGGAAACGTTGACAAATCGGAGTTAGGTAAATCTGACCTTGAATATTGAGAATAGGAGATAGAAAGTGATAGTGACTCTTCATTGTCACGTTCTAGTTCCTCTATCAGCTCAGAAGACATCGAACCTAAACCTGGATTTAATGCTCTCTAATCGTCTCCATTTAGTGGTCGTGGTAGTCATTGCAGTTGTGTTAGGTCGACTATTCGCAGCCGTATATCTAAAAGTCGTATCTGTATCCAGAAAGTCGATCAGCGGAAACTCTCACCAGCCCAGACCAGCGCCATATTTTTCTACGTTAGTTTTGATTATAGTGACCCTCCCTACCGCCCCTCGGGTATACGAGAAGGGCACTATAACCTGTGCGCGCACAGGAACCTTATAAGGTCAGGTTCTGACCCCAGATCAGCCTGTAGAGGGTTGTCACAGACCTCTGTTACTTGACTTCATTCGGTTCTTCGAGAGGCTAGTACCTCGGGTAAGCCGTCCCGGGTGCGCGTACAATACCCTCCCTATTTTCCAGATAGGTAACGGAGCTATAGGCACGCTCACTTCCCATTACGCATTGCACAACTAGCGGTTGCCACCGCTAAGCCGTCGACTCTGAGTCCACTACCAAATCTCCTAATTGGCGGCGGAGCTGTAAGGCACGCTCTCTTCCCGACGCCGAAAAACGACGTCTCCAGTTCACGATAACCTAGCGGTTGGAGGGACCGGAGAATATCTACTTTATCCTCTACTAGCTAACCACAAACCCCTGCGAGTCCATACCTAAGTCCGGGTCCACCAGAGACGCCAACGCAAAGGCGTATCACTGGCGGTGGAACCAGCCCAATCCAGTCGTTTTTCAGAGGGTTCCGAATTCTCCACAGTCACTTCTATCATCCAGTCTTGGTCGACCTTCTAACAGTATCCGTTCAAGTACCCGTGATGCTCACCAAAATAGTGGTCGATCATCATCTATTTGAAGCCATACTTCTGTTTGGGAACGGTCACGATCAGAACCGTTCGGCTGACGCACCGTCAACACATAGATCAAGAAAGTGGAGGCAAATGTCATATGATGATAGGGATCAATTGTGGTAGGTACCCATCTTGCCCTACGACTGGAACTTGCCCAACACCCTTTGATTATTTTCTTGAGTATTTTGACGACGAATCGACGGCAAAGATCTCGATTAGTTAGTATTTTGCGTTAATTAATAATTTTTTTTTTTAATAACGCACACACTCAACATAGCCCCGCACTAGGGAAACCCTGTGTTGCGGGTGCCATGGACACACACATAGACAACCACAAATTACACCCAAACTCACGAGAGAAATAAATGTAGGCCATACAACCATTTCTCCCGACCCGGCAATCGAACCTGGGACCTCTGCGTGGCAGTCATGTGGCGGCATGGTAACCACTGAGCCACGGAGGCAGTTAAATAAAAAAAAATAAAAAATAAAAAAAAGTTCATATTTTGTTATATTTCATGTGAAACATGTGGTAAACTTCAAATTTCATTAATATAGTTGATTTTGTTGCTTTAACTAAGTCGCCTTTTGTCAAAATTTTTATTAAGTCATAAAAAAATGCTACTGATTTGGTAAGGTTTTGCAAGGGTTTTGGGAGAGGAGATTGTTTTTTGTATTTTTTTCTTTTTACTAACGGCATAAATGCTTAAAAAAATGCAACATCAAATCCAATCACAAAAAATAATTTTCTCGTTCTGAAAGGGATAAGATAATTAATTATAATTTTCAATGTGACTACAATAGTAACAAATAATATGAATATAATTTATATTTTTTATGATGTAAATGTTAATTTTACCTCTAAAGAATGTCTATGTCAACGCGTAACATACAACATTATTGATGTTTTTAGACCCATCGTATCTAAGTCGGCATAGAATTGTAATGGCGCATTTACAAGTCCTCAGGCGACTTCCGCTTGTCCGATTCCGATTTCGAGACTCTGATGGGCTACCCGATCGGTTCGGTTCACATTTGAATCAAAATCAGCCTGTGGTATAAATAGTGAGTCGTCAGACGACGGTAGTTTGCAGCCGATGTCGACCGAAGCGACTAGGTGTGTTGCCTTCGGCGAGGCGAAGTAGCATGAAGAAGTAGTCTGCCAAAGGCGGCAGACGACTTATAGTACGTACATAACAAGATACTCTTTGCTCGCGAGTCGTTGTAAAGCCGGTTTTCACTATATGAGTACGCTCGTCTATACGACCTGAGTAATGAGACCTCATTAACTATCCGGAGTTACTGCCCTATCATAATCTATTGACGTTGGCAGGCCAAAGCGTCGGCTTACGGAGGGAAGGGGGGAACAATTCGCACGGTCTGGGATCACGCTTTGGTCACGCGCAGCAACCACTCCACAACACTGGTGGCGGACGAAGGGGAAAAGTAGTCCCTTCGTGGGGCGGAAGATGTGCAATGTACACGGGCTGAGCTGGGGGTCGCTTTGGTCACGCGCAACAAATTTCTCCCAACAGCGCCTCACTCAGTGGAAGTTCTTACCGCAGTACCTACCTTCCTCATTTCTCCTCCACCCGAGGTGTAAATGTACCATAACTAGTTGTATAAGAGATTCCATTTTATTGTTGTTTAAGAGGTCAGCTTTACACAAATTTCATTTTCCTATGCTGTGAATCCAAATCTAAAAAAATAACATAATTTATTGTTTTAATTCCATGTCAAAAGTCCTTTTGCTGCGTAGAGGAAGTCACATGATGCTCATTAGAGTTTTAATCCATTTCGAAAGTGAATAAGTATCGAGTTCTGGCTTATGCGTTTACCTACTATCAATTAAGGTGGTTTGCATTAATATTAGACATAACTGGTTGATGACTTTACCATCCCAGCCGTGAATGGGACCTAATAAATTTCATTTCAAATTGGGAAAAAATAAACTTCAAAGACATTTAAATTCAAAATGTTCGCATTTCATTTTGGTTTATTATTCATTTTCTTATAAATCATAGAGTAGACCGGGTACGGTTGAAACAATTTCGCTTATATCGTTCGTAGTATTGCCATTTATGAGCCGATCGTTGATGAAGTTATATTAAATACAAGAGCGTGTTTCTATCTATCAATGGACAGTGATAATTTAGCACCCTATGTGTTATTTTTAGTACAAGATCAAAAAACTAAAAGGCCAATTTGTTTCAACTGTTCCCTTACCAGGGTCGGTTGAAACAGTGAGTGGGGTCGGTTGAAACGCTATGATACAGTTTACAATTCGTGTTACAATTGTATCCATTTTTCTCCAGGTTTGCTTTTTGAAAACGTATACAAACAACAAGGCAGTACCACTTTCTCTTCTGATGATTCCATTCCTGTTGTGTAGTGGTGTTTTCCTTTTTGTGGTATTTCTATTAAGTACTTCTAGTACTTTAAGTCTCCATCAATCTTTTCCTAATTTGCTTTGCTTGCGTCGTTTTCGATCGGCTTTCATGTCTCTATCCCTCTGCCTCTTTCATATGTTCTTTCTTATCTCTTCTTTCTCTGGACTATCAGTGTGAACTATAGACTTTCTGGTTTTCGTCCTTCTGTTTGCTTTTTCCCGGGGAGCTTTCGGTAATGGTCGTACAGCCTTGGGCGTAAATACAAAAGGAGTGCCAGAAGAAATTGCTTGAGCACGTGTAGAAGGGTTTAGGCGAAGTTTGATGAATACTACTGCTATGAAGTCTAGATAGTGCATTCAAAATTTCCGGACCTTCAAATAAAGTTTTCCTGTTCAGTTCTCGGGACTGGTGAACTCTTTCGAATATTGATAGCCAATTGTTGAGTGGTTCATTAATTACGAGAAAAGCGATAGTGGAGTAGTTTCATCATCAGATGTGCCAGTATTCCTTGTAGGAACAGCCTCTGGCTCTGTTGTATTTTCGGTATTTGGTCTATCTGACGCCAGATGCAAGATGCATCTCGCTTTTATATATCTTAGGAGCGAACAGTGTTTCAGTCCATGCTTCTCTGCCACATGCAATGAATCTCGTTTTACTTCTTCGAAGGCATCTTTATACCTCGTTCCGTCAAATTGCGCCCTCGAAGTCTTTCGAAGGCATCTAGAAAACAGGAAAATTAAATAAATTTGTTGTTTCAACCGTACCCACAAAAAATGTTTCAACTGTCCCCAACCTCAATCAATAATAATCATAATAACTGGAGAAATCTCCGAAGAAAAATACTTACTTTTGATTTTCAAAACACAATAGGGCTTCCTATAAACAACTGTAACGCGCGTTGAGCGATACAACAATGTGACTCGTGTTGGGACTTGTTGTCCGCTTCTTTCGCTCCTTGGACCCCTTACCTTATCTCATATGGTTCGAAAGATATTTGCTCTGTTTCAACCGTCCTTTGTTTCAACCGTACCCAGTTTACCTTTCAATGGATACCGCTAAAATTAGTATATTTTTTTTAAATATGCGTTTGATGGCACTGAAGCAGCGTAAAGGACTTGAAACATTAATGACGTGTATTGCGGTACAACTAACGAATCCAAAGTATTGCTTTAAATTAGTCCAGTGGAAATTTTAACTGGGCAAGTGGGTTTCAGGGACGACCATCGCCCTGTTTGTCAAAAACATTTTTCTTGTGAAAATTTTCATTATTACGAACATGCGTTTATCAAAATTACACGTGTAAATTACAGGGTACAAGTGCAATTATTTATTTCACTTGTATTCGTCATTTTCTGTATCAAAAAGGTTTTTGTAACTTACTATTTGTAGAAAACCATGGAAAATTGTGAGTCCGACGCATAGAGGATGGAAATTCCGTCTTACAATTTTGAGGGAGTGAAGTGATGAAAAAAATATTAAAATTATTTTAAATGCTTATAACAAGAATTGACTACGGTCATATAGAGATGATCTATGAATTCAACGAAAGGTTTAGATTTAAGGCTTATAAATTGGAACATTTAGAAAGATATTCAAACAGAAACATTTCAACATGTTACCTAAATATTAATATTACAAATTGTCCTACATTGCTTGGGAACGGGAGTTCAATCTATGCTTTTTTTTAATGCGTGGTGTATCTATCAACAAGAGGCAGTCTATGTAATGCTGTCAACAGTGTTGAAGACGCAGTCGTCTAGTGTACCTGTAATGTTTATGTTAAACGACCTAAGCCTTTCAGATCTTACAAGTATGAATCTACAAGTGTTCAAGTTTACAAGTCTTGTAGATTTTTTTGAAAAATATAATATCCACAAACTTGTAAAAACTTTCTTGTTAAGTGCATGTTAAGTGTATCTTTGTGAGCATGTAGTTAGCAACCCATTTATATGTTCCGCTTCTGGGATTGGGTCTCCTCTCATGTGAGGGGTTAGGGAATTGTCCGCCGCGAGCTGGTCAAATGCCGATTGGGGGATTCATACGTTTTCTGACGGTTGTGAACCTTCTTCGACGTGCAGATTTCATCACAATGTTTTCCTTCTCCGAAGTCTCATGGTAAATTTCAAATTAAATTTCGTACATAAGTTCTGAGAAACTCAGAGGTGCGAGCCCGGATTCGAGCTCACGACCTTTTTTATAAAAAGAGTCAAATCATTAGGCTACCACGGATTTTTAACATGCAGTCTTGTAATAAATACTTATGGTAAACGGAGCACAGAGCTTAATGTGAATAATGACGAGTTGTGAGTCATTATTATAGACCACACCTCGCATACTATGTAAGAATTTTTGATTGAAGATTTGATTTATACTTACACTTGACTTGTCCCCTACTATATTTTTTTTAAATTCATATTTTAACTCTATTATTATTCCAAAGTAATTCTTTATTGAGAAATACGGCTGTTTCTTTGCAGCACATCAGTATTCTATTTCTTAAAAATTACATAGGTGATTATTTTGAACGAAATGGACAAATAGTTTAGGCATAATGTGAAAACTTGATAATTGACATAAATATTTCATTTCATGTCCTCGTTGGCCCAACGGTTAGCACTGTGGGGCACTGTACGAAGAGGTCCATTTATGAAATGAACTTTTCTAAATTACTTCTGTTCCGGATGTTGCCCCAGTGTGGGAAGTGCCCCAGAGTCAGTTCCATTGCTCTGGCTCGTTCCGTTGCTAGATACTCATAGTGCAGGGAATTCCCTAGTTTGAGGCTAGGCGATTGGTGTGGTTGTCTGGCACATTATTCCATTATTATTCAAAAAGACTTCAGTAATATATTTTCCTATGAAAGAGATGAGATGAAATTTACTTGCGTTTTCGTTAAAATGTATAGTTTGCACCTTTAAAATACATAGATAAACATTTTATTCACTAGTATGACACAAATACAGATTGAATACAACAGGAAAAATAAAACATTTTTTCATATTTAAAAAAATAAAAAATTCACTTTTTTGAATAAAGTCGGAATGAATCAATGGGACTTGAAGGGAAACTGCCTTAAATTAAAATATCAACAGTTCTATAATACAGATTGAACCGCTTCTAAAGGAAATAATGGTCTTAAGCTCCAGAAAGCTCTCAGATTACGTGTAAAATAGTACGTTAGTCGCACTGTTGCGGTTCTAATGTCAATTAGAAACAACCTAATTATAATAGGTGGGAAAAGATCTTTGTATAGACATGAAATATTTTTCATTAATGGAAATACTTTAACATGGAACACTAATTCATTTCGGATAAGAAATAATTCGCACAAGGTTCTTATTCCTATTCCGTATTTATCCGTACTATTATATTATTATTGTCTGCAAGGTACATCTTACACATTGTTTTGTGTTAATCAAGTTATAAGTAGGTACCAACCTACAGATACATTATGGATGAGCCTGTTTGATTTTAAAGTCCTGGTGCGTGGGCGAAGGAAGGACGAAGTGGGCGTTATTCCCGGTACTGAATAAACCGCTTCTTGTAGGAGAACAGGCAAAGGTATACCGCATCTACCAAAACGCGGCGAATAAAAATATCTACTCAAATGTTTATGATCAAAAATAAATAACAGCAACTAAATGTCCAGAACAAACTTGAGTTCAGTTGGTTTTGTGAGTTTTGCAGTAGAATATGTAAAGTTCTTGCTTATTTGGAATAATCTTTATTTAAAAATGTAATTTGTAGAGGTTCTTTCCGTTTCGGGGTTTTTTTATGTGGTACCGTACCTGTATAAAATGTATATTATTCCAAATTTAAAATTGCCAATCAAGGAACAAGGAAAAGGAAGGAAGGACGAGAGCGTATGCAGACGAGGGGTGACGCACGCATGCGCGGAACAAGGGGCGGCTGCGCGCAGTCGCCACGCGCCCGTCCTCAATACAACATGGCGTGCTGCTAGCGTCCTTCAAGGACACATTTGACATCCCGCGGCAAAAATATTACCAGCTGTTTTAAAATATTATTGCAGTGTTTATTGTGTGTGCTCAATAGTGCATGTTGATACAGTGGTTGTTTACTAATTGGAATACCTGCACTTTATTTGACATCCTACGCCCACGATTGTTTCTGTAAGGTACGTACAAAAACAATAATAAAGACTAAAACATTCGTTTCTCAGGATTAATTTCAATATTTGTATGAAAGTACTATCGAGATTGATGTCTGTTATCTGTTAAGCAAGTTAGTTACTAACTTATGAGATTTTTTTCCTGACCTATCTCAAAGTAATCCTATGCTCTTCTTATCCTTGTAGAATTATTATAATTTATTACTTACAGCCTGGCTGAATACAAAATTAACGGCCAAAAACTGCTAAAAAACTGCTAATTTATGTTAGTTGTGTTTATTTTGGGCACAACCCCAACTCAACCCCTGCCCTGGTTTCTGCTGCAATATTTTGTCCTTATCGTATCCCTCACTTTTCGCCGGACAAACGCATATACTAGGATTCTGAGCGAATAATATCCCCTCATAAAAATGATAACGTATGAGAACAATTCATTCAAGTCAAGACAGTGTATGACTTTCATTGATCAATGTCTAGAACACCATTGTATGTGTGATTGATTGAAATTCACGTATTTCACGTTCGTGTTTCTAGGATCGAACACTTGCGCGTTATTAAAGGTATTGTTTGGTCTCATACCCATTGTTTGATAAAGTTTGCTTTGGCCTCAGTTCCATTTATTATCGTCTCCTTGAACCTGCTACTCTGGTTAGTTTTGAAGAGGTGTAAGTAATTAATATTTTGACTGCCTCCGTGCCTGAATGGTGACCATGTTGCTGACTGCCACGCAGAGTTCCTGGGTTAGATTCCCGTGCCAGAAATATTTGTACGCTCTATATTTATTTCACTCGTGAATTTGTGGTTGTCTATGGGTGTGTGTATGTGGCACCTGCGATACAGGGTTTCTCCTACGGGGCTATTAGTGTGTGCGTTATGCATATTATTATTAATTTTATTGAGAAAGAAATAATTTCCTGCTTCCACTAGTTTTCAGTTCTGATTCTTGCTATGTGATACTTTTACTGGCGCGTTAATATTTAATGTCGTCACGGTTTTATGAGACTTTTATTACCGTGTAACATGATTAAAATGTTTTGATTTCAAAGGTGCGAGTTAGATTGTACGATACAATCTAAACAATAATGTTATTAAGTGCCTTGTCTGGTCAAACGCTAAATGAGATGTCACGGTCCAGTTAATTAACCCGGTTATTTAACCCGCTAATGAAGCAGGTACGCATCTGTTTACTAATTAGTGTAATTTACTTGATTTTACGCTTAATACCGTAAATACTAGGCACCTTCTGAAACTAAAGTAACCTATGCCACAGTCCTGTGTCCTTATCAAGGATTCATACTCAAGAAGCACCCATGAGGAAGTCACGCCTAGAGTTAACTCCTGGATACTTAAATAGACCTGGACGCTTGCCAATAGACACATAGTCTTTAATCACACTGACAAACTACATATATGGAAATTACCCTAACACTTATCTACCAATCTTTAAACCGAAGATATGCCTAAGTAAGTTTGAAGTATAGAAGTGCGGTATGTAATTGTGATATTTAAAAATTAATAATTTTTAATATTCCCACGTAACATCTCTGCATTCGAATACTTAATTTCGGCCTACAACGGCTACTTTGTCATCTATTAATATAGAAGCTATTTTAAATACGGCCTTAGCCCAGTAAACTATTAACAAATATCAGTAATTTGTCTATGAACTTCATGTCTCAGTCGGAGACTCGAGTCACCCCATAACCCGCGTTTTATCGCCTCCGGCCGGTTTGCGAGGTCTTTGAACCTCCAAATTCCCCTTGAAAGCCGAACTATATTTAGAACTGCACGCAAGCGAGAAGTCTTGCTCAAAAATCTAGGAAACTGATTCATTATTTAAACTATAAACATAAATGTATGAGTGTCGCTCTCTGAGTCAAACCCATATTATCTCTTATATCTGATAACTTGTTAGTAACATATAAAATCACAATAATAACATTTAAAATCTCCGGACATTGTTATGTCCGGAGATTTTAAATTTGTCTTATTACTACTTTTCGTCATTGCTTTTTTAATTTTTTTACGTCTTAGTAACATCAAAGGTGTAGATAGATACCTACATAATAATTATGTATCTATCTATCAGATTATTACTATTAGATTATATGCAAGATCGTATTATTGTTCGGGATTCCATTCTGGGTCTTTTTGCGTATCAAAATGGACATACAATTTCTATTGCACCGACACGTGACCAGAATGAAATAGTTTCAAGTGATTGAAGTTATTTATAAATTGCTGCTAAATACGGCTTCTCGTAGATATGACACGTTTCGAGATTTTTTTTATACAAGACATTAAATGTTTTACATATTGCAACATCTTCAGATATTCCTTGTACCTACATTTAGTAATAATAAAATTGGTTAGACTGTAATAAAAGTGTAATAAAAATGAGTATCTTACTTAGGGTTGGTTATTAGGACAAATAAACAAACATACGTTTTTAAATAGTACTTACACTTTTAAGTACAATGAAAACGTTAACTTAAATCCTCCCCTAAGTTTTCGAACAAAAGCTCTCTCATGCAAACTACGCATTCATTACGAACTTACGAACTAGGAACATTTAGAAGCCCTACACAAAGCCTGTGGTACATTCCCCTTGAGGTGAAGCGGTGATATGCGACCAGGGGAATGGAATAGCGGCTTCTCATTACAACACACGCTGAGTGATCACGTTTCCAGGAGGTAGACAAATATAAAGCCAAGTATGCATTATAAATTGAAATTGTTTGTGATAATTAGATACTAAAAATTGCTTCTCGTAATCTCCGGTGACAAAGTGATTGACACCTTGTTTCATTATAGTCCTTTTAAAAACTATTGTCAAAATTCATGAATTAGTTTTTTATTACATCTCTGGATAGAAACAAACTCTGATTTATGACACTAGACGACTAAGTGCAATTGGCAATATCGTCGCCTTACTTTCTCAAACTCGTATCTTAAAGCAACAAAGTTACTGAAATGCAAAAAATGTATTGTATATGTGTATATAAATTTTGCAGGCTGATTTCATATCACATTTCCTTCATATTCACACACTGGCTTTTACCTATTCTTAAACATCCATCGAAATTTAAAATAAATAGAAAGTTTTCCATCTCCTGTATAACCACTCTTTTTATAAGATACGAGTTTCAGAAAGTAAGGCATCGATATAGTTTTTACATTTCCAATACGAGCAGGAAGCTTACTAATTCGCGTTGCAGTCACGTCATTTCGTATCCGTTGTTTCTTCCGGCAGCGTCAAAAATTTGACGCCTACGTAATGGAAATAAGCTCATTAAGAATTATATTGTGTTTTGGTTTGTTGAAATATTATTTTTGTGGTGGTGGTTTTCTAGACGGTTCGTTATCTTTCAGTTATTTTCGATCTGCCAAATGTCAGAAATTAGTTTTCACAGTGTGCTGTTCACGTATTAGCCTCGCAAGCACAAATGTCTTCAATACTCTGCATATCTTGGAATTCAAATCTTCGAAAATATGAATAGTGTAAGTACAATAGTTTATCCTTTTACGTCGTCAGTTTAACTGTGTTTGTTTTCTATTACAAATGAAGAACTTAACAGATTTCTATTACGAGTGTTATTGTTGATTTTATCGTTAGAGTTGGCGGACAGCTGTTGGCGATCAATACACGCAGAGTGCTCGATCGCCGCAGCTGCTAGCAGGCCCCTAGTAAGGGCAGAAGGGCTAATTTAGTAATATAAATTTACTTAATATGACTAATGTATGGATTTATATGGGACTCCTTGTTTTATAATTTGGTAAAAACAATAAAACAATGTTCCTATGCAGTCATGCCTGGAGTAATCAATGACTCACATTTCGTTGGCCAAATTTGAAAATTTCGTATCTTCGTTTTTGAACGGAATTATCTTTTTATCTACTTTTCAAGCGCAATATCGGGCAATTAAGGCTTAAAGTGTAATTTGTAGACCTTTAAGACCTTTTTATTATAAAATAAAAGTATAATCATAGCTTGTCATAAAATTATTTCTAGTAATTCTCAAAAGTTTACGTTAATGGTTACGATGTATTAGCCGACGATTTTACTTAACTTAAATATTCGTTAAGGCATGTATATGTACAGTGTACAGTATGAATGTCTTCAGCACTATATCAAAAAGTGATTCGGAGAAAAGAATCACCAGTGAAATAATGTTTCACTAAGGTGTTTTATTTGAAAATTATGTTGTTTGTTATTTTTGCAGTTGTTTATTCACTTCCCTACCTACGTATCTGTCTATTAATTGAAATCTAACACGAACTCGTTAGCTCCTGAACCACTAGCCTTCGAAGTTAGCTCACAGCTGTTACATTGCTGGTGCAGGTATACTCAACGCGCGGCCCGAGGGCCTCATGCGGCCTGCCAATACTTTATGTGCGACCTATGGGTTTGTAAGTTTTTTAAATCCTGAGCGAGATGCGTGAGAACTCAGAGAAAATCATTTAAAAAATCCCTAGCAAATAGAAAAAGAAACTTATAACTCAATTAGTTGCATTGTGATTTTATTAAATGCAAGATTATACGATGAATTTATCGAGCTTAATAACGATATGAACATGAAAGCTATTTTTAAAGAAAAGAGAGGGGAAAGGAGTACCCAATTTGTATAAAATAATAATAATATGGGGTGTAAATGTAAAAACGAAAAGCATGTCCCCACTAATGTAAAAAAGGTAATCCAAAAATGCGGCACGTGTTTTTTTTTTATATCAAGTGACGGGCCGAATAAGCCTGATGGTAAGCTCCACGCCTGCCCATAACAGTTGCCGTGCCACTCAGAGCTTTAAATCGCAAAGATCTGAGGGGTACTGTCACTGCGCCCATTACCTTGAGACATAAGTAGACAACTCCGATATGTATGTAATTTCATCAGCACCCTTACCCTTCTAAACTGGAACATTACTGCTTGGCGGCAGAAATAGGTAAGGTGGCAGTACTTCCCTGCACGAACTCTTTCATAAGGAGCTCTACTGCTGCTGTGACATAG